TTGTGCACATCATCATCATCATTGTGGGGTATTTTGTTTTATTTTTGCCTTTGATTTATTTGTTTTTTACAATTTTTCTATTAAATTTCTTTCTACGGGATTTATTCCACAGTTCACGAAATTCTGGTAAGAACTGATATATTGACGAGGGTTAACAGATGGTATTGATTTTGTTTGGTTTGTTGATGACGTATGGCATCACTGTATTTAGCACACAGTTGTTGTTATTGGGTTAGCGGAAGTACAACCTAATTGAATAACAGGATTATCAGCTGATATTGAAAATAAATACTAAATAGGTTCATACAAGGAAAATTTTCAAGGAGGTAATAGCAACTTATAAATAAAAGATTTTTTCATATGAAGGCATACGCAGAATGGATTCGAAGTATCATCCGTCGTGTTTTTTGTTATCGATAATACAACAATCACAAGATAGATCACAACAGACCATATGTAGTTGGTAGCTTCTTCTGCCAAAATATAGGTTGGGGAAAAATAAATCCATTATTATTATTATTTTTATAAATGGTTTAAAGGGACCCACACACCATAGGGCATGCATGACAGCATTTAAAGTAGTACTAGTAATTTTATATATGTTTAAGAATGTATGTGTGAGATTTTCATGCAGTACCAGAATTAAAATAGTTTTGATTTTGGAAATGAACCCTTTCAATTTTCATTTTCAAATTACTGCAAAAATCTACTATTTTTTACTACGATAACATTTTTTCCTTTATGATATTGGAAAAAATAGTAAAAACTCGTTGATTCTTGAAGTACGGGAACAGACGAAAATTTGTCAGAAAATAATTGTAATGAAATAAAATATATAATTAATTTTTTTTTTTTTTTGAAGGAGGAGCTCCATGGCGATGTTACGACTGCTAACATGCTGGCCAACTTCGATAATTTCACCGATTTTATCGACATTTTCGACGATCGGCCTACCTACCTCCGAAGTGTATTTTTAACATCAAAAAATCCTGAACGGAAGATACGAAAAATACTAAAATTGGCTGTTACAGTATCGGAATCATATTCATCATTGCATTTTCGCCCCCCGGGGTCACGATCGCCGCAGAGATAACCCAGTCGACGCAGGCACCTCCTTCGCGCTCGCTACCTTTGGCGGACTTCGACTCACTTACCCTCTTCTTCATTTCCGTGATTAAGTCGTTATCCCGTCCGATGAATCGGATACAGTAGTTAACTGCTCTCCGGTACATCTTCTTGGCAGCGATCTCCTTGGCGTTGACTTGCCTTGATGTTACTAGTACTGATGATTTATCCATCTTAACGACGGAAGTCTCATTAGTACCAGTCCTCGCATCGGCAGCAAACTGTCTGAGAAGTCTCGCGACGTCTATGAGAGGTCTAGGAGATTAGTTTGGGTCGTCAACATTTGTGGGGGTTCATTGAAGTCTGACCTTGTAGAGTTTGAGTCTGCGGGTGCCAAGGCAGCCACACATCGAAATATCGAATACCATATTGTTTTTGTTTTCAGATGTTATTTTGTTTTTATTATACCATGCATAGTCGCACCAATAAGTTTGAATTTACTCAAAAATACAACTCTTTATTTCATTTTTTGTTAAAAATAATATTTTTTGTTTATTAATTTTTTTATTTTACCCAAAAATGAATTAAGACTTTTCAATTGAAGAAAGCGGCTTTTGGCATTTATGACAGTTGCAATTTGTGTAATTTTGACAATTTCTGTGAATTGTGTTAATTTTGCAAGGCCACTCTGTATTTGTTCAAAAACATTCAGGAACAAAACTAATACACTTCATACGAAACGATATTGACAATGCAAAGATAACCACATCGATATTATCGATAGTGTCATCGATTGTTCTGCTTGCTGCTCTGCAAGAATTTTTCTTTGCATTTATTTGGCGGTTTTTGAGGCGTAAGTTACAAAGATACGCAAAAAATTAATAATATCGAAAACAAAGCAACAGCAAGAACGCGATAAAAAAACAAGTGAGTAAATTACATATATAGAAGATATAGAAATAGCCCTTATCTGTGATATATATTTTTTTAACAATACCTCTTATATGTTATTTTCTTCATGCCATGATGAGAAAAATCAATAAAATAGAGGTCGTCTGCTTTAAATGGTGTCTTGTTCCCATAATTTGTTTTGTGCTTGTCGCTAGTTTAAACCAGTTTTTGGCCGCCTATATTTGGTTCAAAATAATTAGGTTTTGGTGCCATCATTTTCGTCGTTAAAAAAAAAAAAACATTTTAAAATTTGGGCGTCATTTTTGTTCATAAAAATTTGCAAGTTGTGAGTTTAGTTAATTATGTTTATATATCGTTTTTTCATATTTTGTTTCTTGTCTTTATTTTTAGTTGATCTACTTTTGTTTTTTTTTTTTGTTTTGTGGCAAAAATAAAATTTCTGGGTATTTCGTCCATATGTTGAAAGTATATATGGAAATACATTTGCATTTTATTTATTTATTCTTGCCCAGTTCCCAGACTTTGTGTCAGCAGCTATTGCACACTGACGTCACTACTTATAAAGTGTATTTTTATTTTGTATGTACATCGTACATACATATATTTGGGGGAATGTTGTTGGCGACACACAAATATCCATCTTTTTTTCTACATTTTGCAGTTCCCACTTCCACTATTCGAGCCTCTTTTTGTTGTTTGTGTGTGTGTGTGTGTGCGTAATGTGTGTACTTGTTGGGGGAAAAGCGCAATGACACTTGTCGTGGTGGTTTTGCTTATATTAAAAAATGAAAGCAAAGAGAGAAGGTTCAAATTATTAGCCATGTTTTTGGATTAATTGCGTTTTGTTTTGCTGAAAAAAAATGCATGGGATCAATGGCCACTAGCAGGCCAATGATCAGATACCCTACACCAAATGGTGCGTTGATTCTATGGTCTTTGAAAAAATATTTTTTTAATACATGATTATACTGCACCTTGAAAAGGTATATTTAATAAATCGACGCTTAAGCTGGACCTTACAAAATATTCTATAAAAAATTCACGTTTATACTGGACTTTGAAAAAACGAAAAAACAATCTGAAAAAATCCTCGCTTATAATATACCTTGAAAAATATTCTCTCAAATTCAAGCATATTTTTATTCCTTAGAGCTAGGGGAGCTGCCAATCTCCTACTAGTCGCCTCTTCCCGGGTGGCGGATGGGAAGGGGATCTCCATGATGTGCAGGGTGAAACTGACCTAGGTAAACTTATCTCTCAAGATATTTTTCATATTTGGTTATAGGATTTTGTAGTTATTTGAAGTTATATACAACAGATGCCGACTATTGGTACATGCCGGAATTAGGTGCCCTACCCTATATCGGGAAGTATGAGCATACATCACGATAGCAGCCTCTTTATAGCAAACATGGTTTGAAGATATAAAATATAGCCAATCCTCGTGGCCTTTTTGATTTCGGAGTGGGGAGGTTCAACTCATCAAGGGCAACATGAGATTCGTAAGGATGTCTTTGCGACTCCAAGAGCTACCTGTGATGCAATTTTCAAGCTGATCTACTAACAGGTCCTAAACTTGACTAATTTTGGAACAAGTTGAGTTTGGGAGGCTCATATCGACGCCTCCGAATTATAGTATACTAAGTCGACTTAGCTTGTTTTAAAGTTCTTTACGTTTTTAGATACTACGGTCCTTAATTTAAATTCACTGAAATTTTGGTAATCATCGGCCAATCCAAACCAAAGTTATAAGCAAAAATGTACTTAGCATGGCGCGTACGATTAAAGAAACTTCCATACTTTGAAAGCTTCTACTGAAAAACTTACTTTTCAGACTCAGCATACTATGGTTTGGAGGCGTCGATATCGTCTGATATCCATATCTCGGGAAGTATGGACTTCCCTTCATTCCTGATCAGGGAGACGAAAATCTAAGATGAGCTTCTAAACCCAACTTAAGTCCTATTTTTTCCAAGCTAATGGTGTAATAATATTGCTTGCGCATCTACCCCCTCTTTATAACAAATATGGTTTGAAGATATAAAATATAGTCATTCCTCATGACCTTTTTTTTGCAACCTGTCCCCAATAATATGAACTCTGCTTGCTCAATTGATAAATACAACAACAGCAACAACATGACCCAATGGAAAACAACAAAACCTCAAACTTCACTCTACATTTTAATATATAGAATAGAGTGCGAAGAAAAGAAGGGGGTTATAATGAATGCATGGAAAGCAAAAATACCACATATATGAATGGCTTTGGTTGTAATTTTCCGTTTTGTTGTAGCAGCAATTCATCATCAGCGAACTAAAAAAAAAAACAAGTATTTGCAATGGGTTGTTAACCACATAAAAAAGTGAAAAAAGAAAATAGACATGGAGGAAAAATGTGGAAGACAAAGGAATATTAAAATGGTCGGAGCGGATGAGAAGAGGAAACAACCATAGTAAAAACCAGCGAAAAATGGGAGGAGGAAATAAAAGTTGTGAAAGTTCTGATATTTGACTGCTGGAGTGTTTTTGTTTTTGTATTTTTTTTTCTTTTTTGATAGTACTTGTCATGCTCGTCGACGATATTCTGTTTTTATTGTTGATGATGTACAATATTTTGTTATGATTGTTGTTGTTGTTCTTGCTGATGGTGCCCCCATAGGGGTCTTTGTTCCGTTGTAATGTTTTCTATTACTTTTGGTCTATTCCACTTTTTGTTGTTACTATTTTGCTGTCTCTGTGTGTTTTCATGCCTGCGCATGAATACAAAACAGCTAACTAAAACCATTACCACCACTGGCTGGCTAACTGACTGCATTGGCGATGACGGCGGAGAAGATGATTCGTTGTTTTCAAGTCAATGAGTAACTTGTGTCGGTTGTCAGTGTGAAGTCATTTATTTCAAGTTAACACAAAGAATAGGGTGTGTGTTCGTTTAATTTTAAATTACAAATTTTATTTTTTTTTAGAAATTTTACAAAAAACCAAAAAATTAATAATTCTGTTTATTTTTGCAGTTTAAATTTCCAAGAAATAGAAAAAACATCCACCATGACTTCAACACAAACATCCGTCACCATGACCTCAAATGCCCGTCCTTCCAGTCGTGTTCTAAAACCACCAGGCGGTGGCCACTCCAATATTTTCGCCGAGCCTGACGTGAGCGTAAATGCTCCACGTCCAAAATATAATCAACAAAACTCTTCCAATCTAAATGCCTGTATGGGTTCGACTGATCCAAATGTTGTCGTCGAGAAACTACGCGAGGAAGTCCAACATAAAAAGGAAACGGCCAGTAATGATGGAGAATCGGTAAAATCTGAGCCCACCTCCTCCTCGGCTACTAAAACAACTGCCACAGCCAATGGTAATGGTGCTGCTGCCGATGCTGCCGGTGGTGCAGCCCCAGCACGAGGACGTATTCCACCTGGTGGCTATTCATCGGGTAGTTTCTGGTAAAGCGTTTTTAAAAATATGAACAAAAAATGGAACAAAACCATGACCTAAACGCTTTCCAATTTTTATTAATGTTTTGTTTTTTATAATTCAACAAAATAAGCCAAAAGCATTTACAATTAATCATTCTTCATCTTCGTCGTCACTACTGTACAATATTTTACTTTGTGAAAATTGTATTCAAATATTCTTTTGCTTATTTATTATTATTGGTTGTTGTTCATTCCAATCGAATAATAACAGCAGCATATAAAATATTCTACTTATACGAGTTTCCATTAGTTTTTAAGTCATCTGTTCATATTTCCTTTCTCAAAGAAAAAAAATTGTTTTTTGTTTTCTTTGTTCTATATTTCGTGTGTTGTTTTTTTCACTAACGAAAATAAGTATTATCATTTCTTTTTTTACCCATTCATTCACTACTAACTTTACGCTCTCCATGTTCACTCCTTCCCTCCCTCCATTGTGCATTTTATGTGTAACTTTATATTAAAGACCACTTTTTAAAAAACAACTACATTATAATATGAAATAAAAAAAACATTTTTTGGTACTTAAGCTGCTTAAATATATTAAAACAAAAAATAAAATAAACTATGGATTGTGTTTTGTATTTGTAAAGCAAGGGAGATAAGTCATCTAAAATAGAAGAAGTAATTTATTGTCACAACTATTTAGGATCTAATAAATATAGGAAACCTAAAGATATTTTATTTGTTGACTAGCAAGTGCCACCCGTAACTTCCTTGGCGTTTTGTATAAGATTAGTGACGTCGGCGATACTTCCAGGAAGTGACTTTTGCGATACTTCCAGACTTCCAAGAGGTGACTACGGCGATATTTCCGAGAAGTGACAACGGCGATACTTCCAGGGAGTGACAACGTTGATACTTCCAGGGAGTGACAGCGGCGATACTACCAACTATGCAGGTACTATGACTTCGGCGATACTTCTGCTACGCTTCCAGTACTACAGCGACGTTCATGACGCATGTTTTATACGTCGTACTAATTTATATATAGATTACAAACACATCGGTGGGAAAATGCGGCTTAATATCGAAAATCGGTCGGTACCTTTATACTGGAGCTATAACAAAACGTAAATCGACTACTTTTCTGAAGTCTATCACCTAATCCTACACCCCAACAGTGATCCTAACTTTAAATTTCTGGATTCCTGCTCTATCGTTTCTTCCAAAAATTCAAATTGTACCAAATATTGTACTTTTCGTACACATAAGTACAAATTTTCAAAACTACCTACATATCGCTATCCTACAGCACTCCGACGGTAATGTTGATTTCAAATTTCAGTATTCCCGATTAATCCGTTTCTTCTAATTCAAAGGGTATCAAATTTAGTACAGTTTAGTACTTTTCGTATACAGGATTACACACTTCTGAAACCACCTCCTTATATCGATCCTACTTTGTAACGTTGTTTCGCATTCAAAATTTCAAGTTTTTAACTTTATCCATTCACATGCTACGAAATTGTACCAAATTTAGTTCATTTTAGTACTTTTCGGATTTCAAAAAAAAAAAAAAATCCTTTGCTACATCTATTCACTACACTCCATCAGTAATCGCCATTTCAAATTTAAGAGTTTTAGTTCTACCGGTTGCCCAAATATAAATGGTACCGCGCGTTTAGTATTTTTCGTGTCGTTCTGGTACGAATTTCAAAAAAAAAAAAAAAAAAAAAAGCTTTATATGACACGTTTTAACCAAGAGTGACGCTCACCCCAAACTTTATTATGATGAAAAGTATAGTTAATTTCGTAGTCTTATTAGGCCATTTAAAATTTTGAGAAATGGAAGCTAAAGGTTAAAAATTCCTTTTTTACTGGAGTTTACTGGGCATGGTCAAAAATGACCCACAATTGACATTTTTAATTCGAATTTTCAATTTTTATTTCGTATACTAGAATCTAGCCCAAAGGTCGATTCAAAAATCAACACCCGCTCCCTATAATCCAGAATAACTAATTTTTCCCCAAAGCGGATTTTTTCGCATGTCGAATTTGATTCATAACAAGGGGAAAGTGAAAATGCAAAAAAATCGTTGTGAGTTCTGTTTCAGAATAACATTAAAGGGAAGATCGAATAAAATTCATGGTGAATTTATGTCCAGAATAAGACTGTACATGTCTTTAGTAGACCTTTAGAAAATGTTTTATAAATATTCTGCTATATATACTTTTTATTGCAATGCATTTGACACAGAATCTGCGAAATTTTTCTAATCATAGAAATTGATATATACATTTGTAACATTTTTACCACTTTTTGAGTATGGAATTATCCCGAATGTTATATTATAAATAATTGAGAAAACATGGTTGATTTTCAATATATCTAGTCCACTATATATATATTTGTTTGCTAAATTCTTTTGTTTTTTAACTTATATTTTGAAATATTATAACATATTTTCGTATATTTATTTCGAAAAATAAAAATTGTGCTATTATTTTTAAACAACAAAAATGAGGTTGGAGCAATTTACACAGGTAACGGAAATTGTTGTGTCGTGTTGGGGGTTTTTCTTTGTATTTTACAAAATAATATCACCAGCATAGCGTCTTACTAGGTATGTGTTAGCACCTTATTTTTGTTTTTTCTCTTTTTTATAAAAATCTATACATTTGTAAATTAAAACAAATTAGTCCAGAACTAAATTAGCGAAGAAAATTTGTGGCAAGTAACTGAAAAATAAAATGGAGACAAATTTAATTACAAATATTTTTGAAAATTAAGAACAAAAAAACTATACTTACAAATACTTTTACTTTTGTCCAGTTGTTATGGCTGCAACTGCTGGTGCCTCACCCAGTGCCTTGGCCTTTTGTTCCTGTTGATACATAAAGGCCCGGCCCAATTGTACCGATTGTACAAGACCAACAAATAAATTCACCGAAAATAAACTCCAATTTTTCGGTTTAATAACCAATGAGTAGCGTGACCAAATGATACCGGTAGCCGCTAAGGCGCCACACTGTGATACCGATAAGGTTTCGGCGGGACGTGCCAAATCACTTAAACCGGCAATTACCAAACCCTGAAAAAATAACAATTTAATAATGTTAGGAGTGTTTTGAGTTGTCAGAAAAAAAATAAAAGAGATTACAAAAATGTTAAATTTTAGATCATTTAAAAGGTCTCCCGAATATAACTTTTCCTAAAAATAATTGACTTCATTCCCCAAAAATTTGGGACTTTTGCGTGTTAGGAAAATGGTTCATATATAAAATGTGTGTGTGATTTTTTTTTAATTAATGTGTCTTTTGGATATGGGCCAATATGCGGCATTTACAATATATATTCATACATATAAATCTACAATCAAAACAAAAGGACTAATGGCCACATAACATAAACAAAAATAAACAATTGGATGCAATATAATTTAAATACATTTGTTTGCATAATGTCAAGGTTTTGAGGAAATGTTTCTCTTTTTTAGAGAAACATTGCATTGAGAAAATAGCTACGATCATAGAAGAAGAAGAAGAAGAGGAAAATAAACATTTGTATTAGATAAGTGTCTCTGAAAGCTTTTTTTTTTGTTGTACAAAATATATATGGAGGGAGAAGAAACAGCTGATTTTACGAAAAACAATTGTCGGTCTTGTGGACCTGCAAAAAATATTATTTTAAAAAAAGGACCAAGACAGTCATGGTTTCTAAAGAAAAAATCAGCCTTATTCTGGACATCAATTCACAGTGAATTTGTTTGGTGGTCGCTGCTGGAGTGTAGGATAGATGTACCAAAGGGTTTTTGGAAATTCGAAATATAACTATCCGAAAAGTACTAAAATGAACTTAATTTGGTACAATTTCGTAAATTTGGAATGAGAATTAGGATTGAGATGTAGAGTCTATTTAAGGATATGATTTTGAAAGCGTGTACGAAAAGTGCTATATGGTACTATATTTGGTACAAATTTAATTTGGATATACGAATCGAGCAAATCGAGCTTTGAAACTAACATTACCGTCGCAGTGTAGGATTGGGATATGTACGTAGTTTTGGAAATTTTTTTACTTAGGTGTACGAAAAGTACTAAATCGTACTATAATTGGTACAATTTGGATGAACCGATAGAGCGGAAACAATGAAATAATTTGGAGTCAGGATCACTGTAGGGGTTAGGATTCAGTTTAAGCAATTTATAATCATGGGTACTAAATGGTACTAAATTTGGTACAATTTGAATTTTAGGCGAACCAATAGAGCTAGAATCATGAAGTTGGAGTCATGATCACTGTTGAGGTGTAAGATCGAGATATGTAGAAAGTTTTAAAAATGTTTACTAATGTGTACTAAATTTGACCAATAGAGATGGAATCCTGAAACTTGGATTTAGGATCACTGTGGGGTGTGTGTAGAAAGTATATAGAAAGTTTTGGAAATTGGTACTACTGTGTACTAAATTTGGTACAATGTGAATTGTGGGTGGACCGATAGAATTGGAATCCTAAGACTTGGATTTAGCATCTCTGTGGGGGTGTGGATTTGGGATATGTAGGAAGTTTTGGAAATTTGTACTACTGTGTACTAAATTTGGTACAATGTGAATTGTGGGTGGACCGATAGAGTTGGAATTCTGAAACCTGCATTTAGGGTGAAGGTTTGGGGTATGAAGGAAGTTTTGGAAATTCGTACTACTGTGTACTAAATTTGGTACAAATTGAATTGTGGATGAACCGATAGATTTGAAATTCTGAAACTTGGATTTAGGATAACTGTGGGGATGTGAGTTTGGGTTAAGTAGGAAGTATTGGAAATTCGTACTATTGTGTACTAAATTTGCATTTTTTTTTTGCTTCTCCCTATCCATTTAGAATAAGGCGAGAATGTGAAAGCGAAATATTTTTTACATGCGAGAAATCTCGCTAGATAATATCCAGAATATGGCGGTATAAGTTGAATTACAATATGGCAACACGAATCTTTTTTCAGCCACCATTTTCACAAATTTGAATCCCTATCTTGCATTTTTTGCCTTTCCTTATGCATTCTGAATATGTCGAGAATGTGAAAGCGAAAACAATTTCACAAGCGAGATCTCTCCCTAGCGAATATCCAGAATAAGGCTGAATATTTTTTAATGTTCACTATAAATTTGAATTTTTAAATAATATTTTTCGAAGGAAATATTTTTACAAAGTATGTATGGTAAAATGGGAAATTCGAGAGACATCAGCTGAAACCATTTTAAAGAAAAAAAAAATGCGGCTTGGACTATTACAATACTTCAAATGCTTCGGGATAATTTGGAGTTGAATATTAAAAATCTAATGGAAAAATGTTTTTTTTTCAACCTTCATGGCCTCAGAATTCCAATTTATAACCTTCAAAATATTAAGAATATATGGTGCTAAAGTGCCATATGTCCTACAAAAATCTAAATTGCATATTACAGACTCTTTGGTTTAGAAAACTCAGTTAAAACATTTAAAATATAAAAATTAGAAAGGGATCATATTGTGGAGGCTATACCAATACCATCTGTACCGATTTACACATTTCCGGGTCCTAGTAGTATATAAAATTTAAAAACTATACTCTGTAATTTTTATATTTTTCGTTATTTTAACAGACTTGGGAATATATTTTGAAATGACAAAATTTAATACGCACTCCATCTTTTGGTGGAGGGTATAAAATTAAAAAAAACCTCAATCTTATGTTAATCGTTTAATAATCTAATAAATCATTTTTTTAATAGTCTGAGATCCACTTCTTATCTACTTTTGGACATTTTAGTTCAAATTAAAAACTAATCAAAACGGCTGGTAGTTTTATAATCGCTTATCAGCGACACAAGCAACCACCAAAAGAGCTTGAATATAAACAAATAATTAATTTGCAAAATATTTCCGTCTATTGCTAGGTATCGCGCTATTCTAAGCAGCAGACAACGACGACGACCACTACTCAAGTTCATGTGTCAACAAGTTCGAAGAGTGGGAAAGAAAGGGGGTGGGGGAAACGACGACGACAGACAGGTTTCATTTAAATGCAACGTGTATTATTTATGTATGTAGGTTCCGCAGCAGCATTACAAAATTGAACATGATTATATAAAAACAAAAAACTGCGACACTTACCCATTTGAATAGGGGAGACCAAAAGAATATTGTTTTGGGTCCTACAAAAAGGAAGCGGATTATGCATCTTTCTAAACATAATTGAATTTGATAAAGTGACAACTTACCAGCTGGATGATTCCACAAGGGACGCAGTTTTTCAGGTACACGTTTATCCACGGCTCCAATTAAACCATTATATACCTTGGAAGGGAAACTTAATTTAGCTGGAGCAGCTGGTGGTGGTGGCGGAGGTGCTGATGGAGGTACTGTAGTAGCCATGGTAAATTAGTAGGGAAAATAACGCAGACACACAATCAGAGATGTAGACAAGCCGAACCAGCACCTGGTACTACTACTTTGTTGATGTTGTTGATTGGAATTACGCTGTGAATATGAAACAAACAAAAAAAAATAGAAATTTTTTTAATTTCTCACTGAAGCCCCAAACTCAAACACACACACACGTTCCATATGTGCGCCACATATGTTTTTTTGTTATTGTTTAACAAATAAGAGAGAGAGGAGAAGTCTCTCACATTGTGAAAGCTTTTTGTTGGCGCTTTCTCTTCAATATACCTTGGCCTTGACAAACAAAAACAACAACGACAACAACTGAAACTGATGTTACAATTGCATGCAAAATTAAGAAAACCGAAAAATCTCTTAAATGTAAAATAATTTCCGTATAGGAAATAAATTAATTAAATTAAAAACGGAATTCGGAAAATAAAAAACAAAATTGGCACCCACAATAAAAACACAATCAATTTTGAAACAGCAGCAACTTGTTTACATAAACAGAGCACAACTGTGTGCGTCTCTCCTCTCGCAGAGCAACAAAACATATGGCACGACAATAGTGCATGACTCCCTTTCTTGTTATCATCAAAAAACAAATTTAAATATGAAATAAAAAATTATTACCCAAAAAACTTAATTATTTTCAACTTATTGTTTTTGTGCTATTATCTTATTTTTTTTTTTTTTGTTTTCAAAAATCATAAAAAATCTCAGCTCCGTAATCACACCACTTTTCATAAACACGCACAAATACAGTAATATGTTGTGTTCACTGAGTAAACGTCAACAGTTAATAAAGTACACTGAGCAAAAAACCAAAAGCAAAGCTAACAGCTTGATATTCAAAGGATTGTGATGTTATCGATTATTTAAGCTAATCATTTATCGTTTATCTGACATCTTTGTCATTAGAAAATGTAATTTTGGCGCCAATATTTCAATTGCTTTTGTTCTTCAAGAACCAATTAATAAAGTTAGATAAATTATTAGAGATTCGATTTAATTAGGTGTTCTATAATGGGAAATAAGTTCTTTTAATTTTGAATTAATTAATTACTTAAAAAAGAAAAAGACGAGGAGTATGCGAGCCTAAGAGAAAGAACTGACTAGACCACCAGAAGCAATGCTATATTGTAACCGGAACATGTAATCTGTGGGCAATTTTGAATTTTATTCTCAAACAGTGATGCCGGATGGCTGTCAAGACATAACTGTTACAGACCCGAAGTGGTGATCATATTATTTTAACCTGCTGTATGCTACACGTTGTATAAGAAGAGGCATCCTGGCCCAGCAGGTATCATGACAGAGGTGTCTGCGAAACGACCCGAGTCCCACCCGGCCAACGTCTGTCAACCTCAGCCCATTGTGTAAAAGCAGTAGAGGTAAAACAACAATTTACGAAGGAAGATCTTGCAGATGTAATCAAGAATGCCAAGTCATCCAACGCGTTGAGCCCGAACATAATATCTATGATAACGATATAATGGTATATAAAAATTATACCTTTAGATCACGTTTAGACTGCTCGATCTGAAGTGTCAATTTCATAGCGTATACGTCCCCTTATCATGTTCACAAATACACTGTCCGATTTCAAACAAATTTTACTCATCGTAATACTGTTATCATGTCCGAATATGGGTGCCACCGGTCCACTCCTTTTGGTACCTCCCCTACAAAAGGTCAAAATTTTAATAAATTGTAAATCCAATATCAAGCGATTTGATCTAAACTTCGTACATTATAAAATTTTTGCCATATCTATATCATGTCCGAAGAAGGGACCTATCAGTTCGCTTCAATATTTTGAAAATATGTTAATTGAATATCAAACGAAAGGAACATCCGATTTGTTTCAAAGTTTGCAAGAGATCATGTCCGTCTGGTACCTCCCCCATAAACATTCAAATATATATATCTCTATATATAGAGCAAACTCAAATGGCCAACTAATTGATAAAAAAAACATATTCCGTAGACCTCAATATCGAGCATGAGTGTGGCCACACTACATCGAATCTTCTATCGAAGACCTACTGAAATACTCTATATTTTTAGCCCATCAACATAAGAAATCATTTTAAAATGTTCTTTTCGTCGATAGCGTACCTTCTTCTCAAGCTACTTTTTAAATTGAAACGATTGTGGTTAACCTTTTGCGTACGATCGTCCCTGCATAAAAGCACGCGTATAGCCCATTAAACAAAATGTATGCATCATCTTATCCCAAAGTTTGATTGTTTTGTGCAATGCGTGGGGCGCCAGTGTGTGGTAGATAAATAATGCTAAAGTGCTCTTTTTTATTGTTGTTGATTTTTTATTATTATATAGTTTAAATTTGTATTTACGATTTAAAAGAATTTTCTTGTTCTTCTTTATTTTTCATTGTTGTGTTTTAAAAACGTTCTAATATTTTTTAAATATGTTGGCGTTTTTAAATACTTATTGTGGTTGTGATTAATGATGATGAGCGGCGCATGATAGTTTGGATAATGAATGAATGATGCTTTGCGGATTTTCTTCTTCTCCTTTAGTTTTTTATGAAAAACATAAAAAAATGTCACAACAACAAAAGCAGCAGCTTGTGCAGCATAATGTAAAAAAATGAAATGAATAAGAATTTATGACACACTTTTTAAGCTTCTTGATTTTTTTTTAAAAAAAAAAAAAAAAAGAAATGAAAATAAAAACAAAGACATAAAAAAACAAATTCGCTTTACAAAATTGATGGTAGTTCGTACTACAATATATTTTTTTAAGTTTCAAAAAAAAAAAAAAATAATTATAAAATAAAAAAATCTTTAAAGTAAAATTTAGTTTAGAGTTTTCTTTTCCTTATTAGGGGGGAGGGGAAAGAGTAAATAATAAAGGGGGAGCAGGGGACGACGAGTGAATTTGCCACATGTGTGACCAAACAGGAAGACGGAATGGGACCAGGGCAGACAGGATAGTTAGGGGGATAGTATAAATTTCAAAAAATAAAAAAAATAATAGGAAGTCAAGTTAAAAAAAGAATATTCGTTTATGTATTGTGTTTTTTTCTTTTTTTTCAAAAATTGTGTTTAAAACTCAGAAATTCAATAATTCTGTTTGGTTTTTGTTTTTTGTTGTTGTATATATATATATATAATTATATATAGATGATTTATGAAATATTTAAATTACAAATAATTAAATTATCATGGACTCAGTATTTTAATTTGTTTATGGTTTTCGTTCTTGTTATTTGCAAATTTGTTAAATCCTTGTTTTTTTCTCTCTTGCTGTTCTTTTTTCTCTTGATTTGTTGTTGTTTTTTCTTTTGTTTATGATTCTAAATTAAATAATATATATAATATAATAATTAAAAAATAAAGATTTAAATTGGTTTTGCAATGTACAAGAAGAAGTCGACAACACCACTACAACGACGATGAGGCGTTGTGTATTATCGCGCATTAAATCATGGTCACATTGAAAAATAAGGGAAATTTTGTTAAAAATTAAATGTGTTCGGTAATCTGCCATCGGCATTTGGATCAAATTGATATTGTGCGCCATCGGATGCGGGCGCCATAGATGCCTGTTCAAGCTGTAAAATAGACAAAAAGAAAAAATATTAGATTTTTGCAGATGGAGTGATTGGGGGAGGAGGAGGAGGAGGGAGGACATGATATAACTTACCTCATCTGAGAAATGTTGTTCAATAATTTCATACGCCAGTTTGTAGATTTCAACATTTTCATGATTTTGCAGTTTTTCAATCTTTTCAAGACCATCGCATTCCTCAATTAAATTGGCTACATCTTGTACATGGCTTTCGGCCATTTTGAGCATATTATTAAGACCATCAAGGACGACCTGTAATTAATTAAATTAAATAAGACAAATTAATTTAATAAAATTATATTAAATAAATAGTAAAATAAAATTGCATACTTACATTAATAACTTGGGTATCCTGACATGACAACAGATCACAGAATGGTGGTATAACGCCCTCTTTAATTAATGCAAATACTTGATCACGATTACCACTGATCGTCAAATTGCTGATGGCCCATGCGGCTTCTTTTTGTGTTTGGAATTCACCATGTCGTAGATTTTCAATAATTTTCGGCAATAGACCACAATTAATGACAGCCTGCACCTGTGACTGATTACCAGCTGTAATATTGGATAAGAACCATACGGCTTCTTTGCGTATCTTTTCCTTTTGATGTGACAACAGAGCTGGGAAATATGATAGAGCATCATAGTTGAGTACGACTTGGGTCTGTTCATCGGAGCCGGTAACAATGTTACCAACAGCACGCAATGCGGCTGTTTGTACTTTCACTTCGGCATGACCCAATAGGGGTATCAATTTTGGTACGACACCACTTTCAATGACCATTTGTATCTGCTCATTACCGCCATCGGTTAAATAGCTGATAGCCCATACGGTATCCACCAAAATGTTGGTGTCTGTATGATGTATCAAGATATTTAGAGCGGGCAATATTTCGAGAATTGTTGAGGCTGGTGGTGGAGGATCTTTGTTACGGCACAGATTCACAATAACCCAGGTGACGTTGCGCAAAAACGAAATGGGTATGTCGGGTTTGATGAACGACAACAACGGTTGGACAACACCATGCTTGATGACATAGTCACGCAATGCCGGACCATCGCCAATAATATTACCCAAAGCCCAGACGGCTTGTTCGCAGACATTTGGAGCGGGTGATGACAACAATTGCAAGAATAAAGGTACAGCACCGGCATTGACGACCTCATTTGTTTGTTCCGATGTACCGGAGGCGATATTTGTTAATGCCCAGGCTGCCTCAAACTGCAACATGGTGTGATTGTGTTGCTTCAAACAATCGACCAATATGGGAAGAATGTCACTTTTAATTAAATCATTGATGGGTGGATTTTTATCAGACGATAACAGTTTGCGTGCAGCTTGCACAGCGGCCAATTGCTGTTCGGGTTTTGATGAATCAGCAGCAGCTTCGGCTAATTTCTTTAAATTGATTTGATTTGGCAACTGATCATCTTCGTCTGTGTTTGAGTCCATATTGGGGACATTGCGACGTTTGAGAATGGTTTCTTCACGTTTGTTTTTGCGCAATTCCACGGTGACTTCATTGCGTCGTCGTCGCATTTCCTAAAGAGAGAGAGAGAGAGAGAGAGACAATAAAAAATCATTTATTTAAAATCAATCCAAAAAATTAGACCAAAATCAAACTTTCTATAAAGAGGTGCTCATGGGATTTATATTATAGCCCATAATAAATTATATATAAGAGTAGAGCGCAATTATTTATAGGCCATGATTTCATTTATTTAATCGCCTTTGTAATTTTTATTGGATATCAGACAGACGCTTCGTCTCAGGTACTATCAATTACATGAAATCGATCGAAATTATATAGTGCGGCCCCCTGATTTTAGACGCTTTTTGAACACACATGATATACATTGTCATTATTCCTGCATGAAATCACAATGTCAAACTATAGAACACTTGACACAAATCGTACCTACAGAGCTCTGATCGGCAAAAATCCCAATGAAATGTTCATTTTGTTATTAAATTTTTTATATTTAATTAATAAATTTATATTTTCCCATTTATATTAATTAATTATCATTTTATTTACTTCACTGTCATTTTGTTTTCTTTTTTTACGAGATTTTATCAACATTGCCTCGCATTACATTGATTTTTTAATGTTGGCAACCCTGTATATATTTACTTCATAATTAATGATCGCCGCACCACACAGAGTTGTATTGTGGATAATTTGCACAGAAGAAATTTATTAACAAAAGAAAACAAAAACAAAATGAAAAAAAATTGTAGGCCCATACACACACTCTTCTCATGGTGTTCATGAACCTGCGTGCATGTGTGTGTGTGTGTGGATAATTCTGTGTGCAATAAGAGAAACAAACAGTAAATATAGGTGCAAAGTATAAAAACGAAAAAAATCACCGTAATTGAAGGCAACACAATACCAAACCACGAGGAATGATGGCAATGAGAACACACGAAGAAGAAAATGATGTGAACCAATACGAAAAATGCCGATGACAAATTTGTTTCGTTATTTTTTGTCAATAAATATAAAAATTTCATAACAAATAAAAAGTGTAATTTTGTTTGTGGAGGAAAAAAATCAATAAAATAACTAAATTGTTATTTTATTACTTATAAAAAACTATTGAAAAATAGTACATATAGAAGAAGATGACGACAGGAAATGGAGGTTAAGCTAATCATGTTCGTCGTTCGTTTCTTTATATATTTCGCCAATTCTTCCCTCCTCTTTTTGTTGCTGCTGGCTCTGACCGATGATGATGGGCACCTTACACATTCACACGCACCACCGCCATCATCACAGGCTAGACAACGACGAAGACGACGACCGACCGACTACATGATTACAACAAAAACATGTGCCTTTCTCAAGGAAAATTTACACAAAAATGTGTTATTTTTAACAAAAAATCGTAACTTATTTGTTTTCAAAATAATGTGGGTGTGGCTATTCCCATGGCATTTCTTAAAATTTTAAGAAAAATATTCTACTACTTACCTCTTGATCTTTGCCTTTGTTTTTGAAATTTTGCAAGCGATTTACATTTGGTTCCAGAGACGTCATTTTTTCAATTTTTATATATTTTGCTGTGTGTTGTGTATATGTGGAGGAGTTTCGAATAATTTCAACAAAATTCAACGAATTGAATTTTCTGCTTTCAAAATTTACTTCTTTCCGTTGCTTTCCTTCTATAGAATTTATATATTTTCCTTTTCTTGGTCCAAGTATTATCAAAAAAAATAAAATCACTATTAGGTGGAAAGACGACAACGAACCGCAACCGACGTTTGCTGAGCGAACGAATGAACCAACCAAACGAAACGAATTAAATGGCGAAAAAGGATGGAAAAAGAACAGCAACGAATTTCAAGTGTATCAACGACACACACACATGTATATGCACATCACAAACACATTGCCAGTTGAAGTAGCAGCAGACGGCGTTGGCGACGATTTTTTGTTTCGGCAAACGGCACCAGCAAATTTTCCGAATTGTTAGAAAATAATAAAAAGAATCGAATAAAAATTAATTTCATTTTTTTTTTAATTTTCAAAATAATACAATACAATAATACAAAAAGGCAATTAACCAATTGTGGTTAATTTTGTCACAACTTACATTATTACTTTTTTTCCTTGTTCTTTCAATAATAAAAAGTTTCTCGAATATTTCTTCTCGTTAGACAATTATTTTTTCAGCTAGTTGCAATTTTGAAAGCAAATTATGCCTAATATTATTGCATATATTTGACAAAACACAAATAATATCAAATCTTTTATTTTCTTTTTTGATTCAATTATAAATATGTATTTCTTATTCAATTTCTATGTCTTTTTCTATTAAAAAATCTTTATGTTCTCGTCGTTTTGCCAGAGTTGTGTCGTTCTGCAACGAAATGGTACAAACTTAACTACTCTGGAAAATGAATGATCGGAACTATTGCCAGTTCATTAATGTATCTAGTGTCTTTAGTTCACAGACAAATCAGACAAATTCATTACGTCGGTTTGAAAAAGAACAGTAAAAAGGTATTTATATTTGAAGTTTTTATCAGGTAAATCCACTTTATGAGGATTTGTTTGACATATATGCAAAGGAATTGATAATTTAAATCCACTAGATCAACGAAATCCATTTTAATGTAAACGTACTATAACGTGAATTATTTAAACCGATTTCATGAAAAAATCGAGTTCTTCACTTGAGATTTTTCTTAATTACTATAGTAGAGAATTTGATCACTGAAACCCAATTTCATATAATTTGTTTCATGAGATCCCTTTATTGTGATCTTCGACAAAAGCAAATATTTCGTTGAAATAATTCAGTGTGTTAAAACAAATTTACATGCAATTTTTATCCTTTTTATTATCATAAATTCCAGATTTCGTAAATCTAAAAGTATACTTAGTGCTACAATGTCAATTCCATAGCGTATACGTCAAAAAGAATCGAGTCAATTTAAAATGGTATATGTAAATGGATTTTAAAGCGAATTTACATATAACATCTAATCATGATTAAAGGCTATATCAGGGTTTATTTTCCTAATCAGGCTGAATTTACCATGATTTATCATACAAATTTAAATCATCGTGCGGCATGGTTTATTTTAAATCATGATCGAAACCATGATACTATTGAGATACGGATGCAACGTGGTTTTGTACGAAAAAATACAACTCTCACACAATGTACCAAAACTTGCAACTGTTTTCACATGTTATTTGTTTTTAAATTTAACGGTTGTCAAATACAAAAATGAAAAATAAAAATTATTTGTAGAATTTTTGTGATTTTGGATGTTTTTTTTTTTTCAAACGATCACAGCATCACAAAAACATTTTCATTGTTGTAATTCTTTTTTATTTTCAAATTGCAAACAAATATTTTTGGCGCAAATAAATAATTTTTTATGTATACTAACAAACAGCTGATCGCCATTTATGTGTAAACTATTTGGGAGCATTTGTGGATTTTGTCAATCGAGTCGATTTAAAATCTTTTATGTAAATGTACTTTTTGTCGCCCTTGTTGTCGTCAATAATTAAATACAACTCTTGCATTGTATTCACCGAACATCATATTACAACACTGTGTAAAGAAACGGTACTTGATAATTGGTTTTTCTGTTTTGTCTTTCCATCAATAACCCCTTCCGACTACTCACTTTTCACACACACATTATATATTTGTCCCACTCTAATTGTAAGTACGTTTTTTTTGCCAGTGATGCCAATCGAAAACTTGGCAGCATTCATATTGCCCAAATACATCACGAACGTCGAACGTCGTTTCTGTGTAATTGTATTCGTGCTATGATCCATAAAAAATTTTGCGGAAGGTTTTTTGTGTTTGATTTCTAGCCAAAAAGAAAATTCTACGCGAATTTGTACAATCGTGTGAACGAGTGGAACATATCCTTTGGAAAATTGGAACAATTTTCTGAAAGGAAATTGCATTTTCTATGGAGAATTGTGGAGCTGCGTCAGTGGAAACGGCAGCAGCAGCAGCACCATCAAACCAAATTGATCCAACAACCAAGTGATTTTTCTTATTCTCCTCCAATCATCAACATCATGCACAGTCTCTTTCAATAAAGTTCGTCGGGTGAAATTTCATTTCATTGAACTGCTTTGAAAAAGAAAAAAACAACAGCACACAAAGACAAAAAGTTAGAGAGACGTTGTTAAATACAACACAATCACACACATAGAGACATACAGACAGACAGACGGACACATCAAGAAACCAAAACCAACCAACGAATAAAGACTTTGTCGTCGTGAGGAAGAACAAGCACAAAATATAGTCGAAGAAGAAAATAAAACAAACTTTGTTTGGTTGAATCGAATTCAACCAAAATAAAAACAAAAATTTTTACAATATTCCATAGAAATAATTAAAAGTAAGTTATAAAAATCAAAAAAAAGAACGAAAAAGTTTTTTGGAAAAACTTTGTTATTTCGGAGAAAAAGCGAAAAAAAGTGATTGTTTAAAGAAGAAGAAAAAAGTTGAGGTTGAGTTTGTGTGAGTGTTTGTGTCGAAAAAAATAAGAAGAAGAGGAAGCATACGTACGTGTGTTTGTGTGTTGCAATCAATTGGACAAGTAACACCAACAACAAAACGAACTGAACTGCTGAACAATAAAAAAGGAAAAGAAAACCCAAATCAACGACTAACCAACCAACCAGCTAAGGTAAACATCAACGACGAAGACGTCCATCTCTCCAAAGTGCACAGGGGAAAGCAAAAGCAAACGATATCTAGGAAGGCTGCCTATATTCTGGTAAACATTCATCCATTCTGAGCAGCAGCTAGCTGGCTGGAGTTTCTGTGGCAACAAAAAACAGCCACCGAGTCGACGAGAAGAAGAGAAAAACGTGCGAAAATTTTGTGATTTTCTTTTCAGTTTTTGTTTTTTTGCTTTTGGGTATTTTTTGATATCCCCCCGCTTGCTCGAATCGCCTCGCCGCCTGTTTGGTGTGTGTGGTGTTAGTTAACGACGCCGTTTTTGTGCCATTTTTTTCTTCTTCTTCCTCACCTGCGCCTGCTCTCACGAAATTTCCTGAAATATTGAAATATCCACATTACCCAATTTATATATTGTTGTTGTTGCAGTTGCTGTTAACTCCGACGGACTGACGGTCTGCCTAGCTAACTGGCGGTGTTCGACAAAACAAAAAACATAAAATAAAATAACAAAGTAATTGAAAATCCAAAAAAAACCAAAACTACAACAAAGTTTAACCAACAACAAAAGCGAGAGTAGCAACAACAGCGGCCAACAGCAGCACCAGTTGTAGCAACCAACTCAAGGTTGCTGACAGAGAATTTGCTTTAGATTCTTTTTTCGCCACTCTATACCCCTCCTACGCCTTGTTTGTCTGCTATCCCACCCGACCGCCTGCCAATAAACGGAAATATCCCTTTTTAGACACCTTGCACGTTGGCCGGATTCCTGCTCGTGGCATCCCAAGCTAAAAAAAAATAAACTGGCAGCAGTTATTGGTGGTGGTTGCATCCACACAAAACTTTTAACGTTCCATTTTGCCGCTTTGGAATGTTAGATGCGGTGAACTCTTGTATTTACGGTCGTAGCAGTAGAAGCAGCAAAAGTTCGAGTATTACAAGTCGTTTGAAAACAACAACAACAATAACAGCAGCAGCACCAGCACATTCAGAACAAGGACATTCAACAATAACAGATTTATTCGGTAAGTTTGATGAGAGAGCGGGAAAATACATGATTTGGTTTTTTTTCGTATTAACCAAAAATATTATTAGATTTTAGGTAGGAGTCAAAATAATTTGAGGCAAATATGTATTGTTGTTGTTTCCATAAATAAATCGACCCCATTAACAAATAACTTCATGATGTGTGTGGTCAAGGTTATATGCCCAACACTATCTTAGAATTACCCCCTCAACAAGGTGGAGGTGGACATCCAAAATAGGTATACTCGATCAAAACCTTATATGAGGTTTATGCCATGATAAATTGTTGGCTGGACAGGATTTTTATTCTCTGAGAAAATGAAATAACAAAACTATAACCTCTCAGGGTGAAAAATTGTCTTACAACCTTGAAAATATTGACAATGTGTGGGATCTATGTAGGAACATGGACATATTGTGAAAATGTTTTTGAAGGTGTTATCCTTCACCAATATTGGTAATTTTTAGTAAAAATCTTTTGCCACACAATGAGAACTATAATATATAATAACAGCCAATTCGGTTAAAAAACATGCCTGAAATTCTCAATATAACGAAATGAGGGTTTATACCAAAACGTGGTGTAATTTTGAGCATTTTATGGTGAGCATTGGCTTATGTTAAGATTATGGAGGATCGAACAAGGATCATTTAGGGTCATTATTTTCAAAAAGTTGAAGAATGTTGTTCATTTAATATGAGATTGATTCTTTTAATCAGGGATCCAATTGTCCCAATGGAGTTTTGAAGATATAGTATAGACGTTAGCAACAATAAAAGATGTAAACAGGATCCTTATTACAGTATATTTACATACTTAGCTGGCTTGTGACAGAATGGTTGTTCCATAAGCCGAGCTTAAAAAAGATCTTTGCGCTGTTTTTCCTTCTGCGTGAACCATCAACTGGTTCGCTTTTATATGCCTTTTGGACTGTGGCATCTTCATCTATTCTCACATGACCTAGCCAACGTAGTCGTTGGAGCTCAATATGTCGAACAATGCCGATGTCCGAGAATAGCTGGTACAACTCATGGGTCATTCACCTTCAACGCTGAGCGGTTCATAGATCTTTCGGAGAATTTTTCACTCCCATGCTTCAGATCCATATAACAGCACAAGTAGTATCAGCGTCTTGTAGAGTATGATTTTGGTCTGGCGGGAGGTGGTTTTGCTTTTGAGTTGCTTACTCAGACCATAGTAGCATCTGTTGGCCAACACAAACTGATGTCATTAGTTTTATTTACGGCGGTACCAAGGTATATAAAATCTTTAACTACCTCGAAGCTGTAGTTCCCAATTTCTACAGTTGGTACGAGTCTACTGGACATCTTGCTCTTTGATATCATCAGCTTGGTCTTCACGCCGTTTACTGCAAGACCCACTTTGGCAGACTCCTTCTCAATTTGTTCAAAGGTGGCTGTTACCGCTCTCAATGTTCGACCCATTAGGCCGATGTCATCGGCGTGGGCGAGTAACATGTGTTGTTTGGTGAACAGAGTACCATTTCTGTTCACCTTTGCCTCTCGTATGACCTTTTCCAGCAGGATGTTAAAAGGTCACACAACAAACTGTCACCTTGTCTGAATCCTCGTTCTGTATTAATTGGCTCCGAGAGGTTCTTTCCGACTATAACTGCTGATCTTGTGCCAGTTAAATTTATCCTGCATAGTCGAATTAATTTTTGCAGGAATGCCAAACGCAGACATGGCTTTAAACCCCTCTGAACGGATAGGGCTGCCGAATGCGGCTTTATAGTCGACGAATAGGTGGAATGTTTTTATGTGTTTTTTCCAGGATTTGGCGCAGAGTGAAAATCCGGTCAGGTCATCGACCATTGCCTTCAGTCGTTCATACAGTACGCTGGATAGCACTTTATATGCCTCCTTACCAGCACCTGACCACCAGTCTTGATTTTTTTTTAAATATTTTTCAAAAATATTATCTAGCAATCAATGGGTCATTCAAACCACTCATCTGTCACCTTTTTTCGGAATTTTGTGCCAAGATCTATCTATCCGACTATGTCAACCAAGAGAGCAAACTCACTGTTGAACCTGTGTAAAGCTCAAATCAGATGGAAGACGTGAAAAACTTAATTAAAGCCAGGAATCATTTAGCTGGTCATTGCAATATCATGGCCATTCACACCAGTCACCTTTTTTCTTTTGTGCAGACTCTATGTCAACCAAGAGAGCAAACTCTCTGTTGAACCTGTGTAAAGCTCAAATCAGAGTAACGACAGGAATCATTACTGGTCATTGCAATATCAGGGCCATTATACCAGACTACTGCAGACTCTGTGTCGACGAGGAGGAGACGGAGACAATTGAGCATCTCCTGTATCCGCTGTCCAGTCCTGGCCTACAGACGGCAAAGACTCGTGTGCAGCTCACTTTCAAGTATGGAACAGATGTATCTTGTTTTTTTTTTTTTTTTTTTTGATTAAAGACCTCCTGACAAAACACTCCGACTCCTTTTTGGGTATTTTTGTGTATAGTTCGTACTTTACTACATTATATTATTCCGGTTTTAGAATCCTACCTCAGAAGCAATTAATTTCCGCTTAACTTATATTTAAGTTAATGCATCCTTATCGCCTTGCGTTTATAAATACGTTGCTTGTTGTCCCACATTATCCGAAAATCAATATATTAAATCAACCTTAATTCACCATCTTCCCACGCCAAGCCATACACACGCTCCTGCTTAATAAATATATCTACAAAATAAATTGCTTATCGAAGAGATATTATAATTTGTGTATTACTATTATACGTTATATATAAAACATAATTATATTGGCATTCTAATTGTCATTAGTCATTTCCGAATAACTATTTTTCACATGTGAAATATTCATCCTATCATCCTTCTTTTGAACTCCTCCTTGCTATTAAAGCGGCAAACTCATAAACCTAATTCAGTGAACAACCATTGTCGTCGTGGTCGTCCTCCGCGTACATAATGTGTCGATATCATACATAGCCATAAATACATTTAATAACATTGCTGCCTGCCTCCCATGGCTTGCTAGATGGATGGCTGGTTGACTGACGGACTGGCTACCTTTATTCATACTACCTGATGTGTGGTATCTCATGATGATGATGATGATGTTGTTGTTGTTGTTGTCGATTCCATTGCTGTTGCTATTGTTCTTGTTGTTTGTATATCAATGTATGTGCATGCGTAGGATTTTGTTTTCTTCATACTTGTTTATATGTAGAAGAATGCAAGCTGAAACGCACATACACAAACAAACACACACACTCAATTATTTATATTTTAGATATAAATTACGTATGTATGTGTGAAAGTGTGAAATATTATTTTGTTTCATTTTGTGCAAAAAAAAAAAAACATTACAGAGGAACATATATTCCAATATTGACCCTTACATACTTCGTCCTTACTTTACCGCTAAACATTGTTTGTATTCCACACAAAATCATCCCTTTTTTATTTAAATTTTAACACATACAACTAAATTTATGGCTAAACATAGATTAACAACCAATTTTCTTTGATATATTATTGATGTCCTCGAAAATCCATTTATTTTGTTTGGGATAATCATATTTAAATGTGTTTTTAATAGTATTATCACCAGTCCTGAGATTTGACGATGTATATATTGTTATTCCTAGTAGAAACGACTGGAACCGGAGTAACCCTCCTCAGACGGATCCAAGATGGAAGATGGTGCAGGTGCTGGCGTCTATTGTGAAATGCTAGGCCTTGAGTTAACCTACAAGCTGGATAGGAACTGTAGTGTTTTCCATGCTGAAATCTTCGCGATCTGGAAGGCAGTGGAATTGATAAAAAGTCTGGATGCATAGATCGTTGAACCGTCGGTAACTATCTTTGTGGATAGTCAAGCGGCTCTTAAAGCCATCAAGTCCTGTTACATCAAATCTGAGGCCGTCCTCAAGTGTAGAACAGTTTTGGAAAATAATTCTTACAGCTGTCGGCTGTGTTGGGTATCAGGACACCGCGTGCCATCATGGGTAATGAAAGAGCAGACGAACTAGCTAGACGAGGACATCCATCTACAGATCTAACAATTGACGGCTCAATCAAACCACCTATATGTCATTTTTATCGGAACTTTGAGGCGTTCTTCGACGAAAGAGCCTATGAACTTTGACACAACGAACTTAGGTGCAATGTGTCAAAATCTATTCAGCCCACTCTGTCTGCCAAAAGGACACACTCATTGTTGAACCTGAGCAAAGCTTAAATAATAGTAATGATAGGAATCATTACTGGTCATTGCAATATCAGGGCCTTTACCAGTAAGTGGATCCATGATGTGACTAATGCAGACTCTGTGTTGACGAGGAGGAGACGGTGACAATTAAGCAAAATCTTCCTCCCAAAAATAAACAGAATCGGTCCACATTTTGTATGAAACTCATAAAAATATACACCACAATATTTGGTATTTTGAGGATTTCAGATATAATTTTTTAGCACAATTGGCTCTAATTTATCGGTTTAAGTTGTGGAACCTCATATAATCATTCCCCAATGTTTCGTTATTTTCAAGGTTTCAATCAATATTTTTTGCAATTTTTATGGTCACGGGACTTCAATTATAACTCCAGCCTTCAGATGGCCTATAAATACCACCTTATGTTGGCCAATTTTGATGGTGTCAGGCCTATTTTTCATCCATAGTGACCTGATTTTGGTATTCCGGGATTTATGTGTAATGTTTGTTTCTATATAGGTCACTACGTGTTTTTATCCCATTTTCCTATGTTCCAACAAATCGACGCTTCATAAAAAATCGCTTTAGCTTTGGTAGAAAGCGCTGATGTTCTTGTTCAGTTGTAGTATTACGACCACCTTCGGTTGGCCTATAAATGCCAGCTTCAGTTGGCCAATAAACCCTATAAAGATCACTTCCAAAGGCCTACAAAGATTAACTTCAGCTGGTCTAAAAATATTATTTTCAAAGGCCTATAAAGACCACCTTGAGCTACCCCATAAGGATTACCTTCAGTTGGCCTATAAATATCGCTTTCAGTTGGCCTATAAAGCCCTATAAAGATCACCTCAAACGCCTATAAAGATTACCTCAAATGCCTATAATGATTACCCTTAGATGGCCTATAAAGATCACCTTACCTTCAAAGGCCTATAAAAACCACCTTGAGCTGGCCTATAAAGACCACCTTGAGTTGGCATATAAAGACCACCTGGAGCTGGCCTATAAAGACCACCTTGAGCAGGCCTATAATGACCCCCTTTTGCTAACCATAATGACCACCTTCAGTTGTCCTTAAAACATCGTCTTGAGCTGGCCTAAAATGACCACCTTCAATTGGTCTATAAAGGCCTGTAAAGATCACCTTCAGTTATCCTATAAAGACAACCTTGAGCTGGCCTATAAAGATCATCTCACATGCCTATAAAGATCATCTCAAATGCCTATAAAGACCACCTTCAGTTGGCCCATATTGACCACCTTCATCTGGCCTATAATTACGATTTTCAAATTATATTCTACATATCGTTGATAAAAAAAACTCCTTGCTTTTTTATCGTCCCTCGATCTTCTTTCTGTTCCAGCTTATGTAAATACATTACTGCTGTGCTACCTTCAAATCGTATACTCCTTTCAACATGATCTTACACTCAAACCTTTGATCATAAATTTGAATTTTGTTTGTTTTTTATTTTTTAATTTTTCTGTTTAGTAAATTTGCCATATTGCAAATAAACAAAACAATTGAAGGAGGGGGATGGCCTTGATTTTGAAAAGGTTATCTAAAATCAATGACAATTTCTCGGTTTTTCACATAACAGCGGGAGCGTGTCTAGGGGTAATAAAACGAAATGCAATTCTTTAAAACAACAACAACAGAATCATAACAATTAAAAGTTGTCTTTATTGGTGATAAGGAGAGTTAGTTTCCTTTAACCTAGAACATTATTATAAAAACTGCATTTAATTAATTTGTAACATTTTTAAGACGAATTCACACACATTCACATATTCTTTAATACTAATTAATTGTTTTGTTTCTTCTCTTCCTCCACAACAGATTATGGCGAATTTAAATTTCCAACAACCCCCAAGAAGCATAGCAAATGCATCTCTAACGGGCAGAACTACAGGCGGATTTGGTGGTAGTTCATTATCCGGTCATGTAACACCCACGTCTGGCATGTTTCCAAGTGGTAAGTCGTCGCTAGTTAATAGATAGTTATACAATTCCAATGTTATTACTTATTTGTGTTTGTTTCCATTTCTAATGTGTGTCTCTTTTTCTGGTTTTTTTCGGTTGATTGTTTTGGTTGGTCTTCTTCATTTGGATGCAAATGTAAACAAAACAACATAGGAGCAAATTATGGACAAACGCAACCTCAATTATCACCGAATCGTAATGCTCAGCTATCGGTTGGTGGTCCTGCGTTAAGTAGTGGTAATCGTGCAAATGTATTTAACCAGCGTCCATATGTGGAAAGACGAATGCAAGGCCTGGGAGCTGGACCTATGGTAAGTATCCCAAAATCGTAGCAAGTTTATATATTTTTTGAATTGTAGCAAAATAAGATAGAGGAGCTTGAAGGAAACGTCAATACTATATTGGCGATTTTTCAGTGGACTTGCGAAAATACTTTTCTCAAATCGTTTTTAGGGACTACTCTCTCCAATTAGGTCCTCTATAAAATGTACCAAATGGCCTTAAGGTCAAAATATGTCTATAATGGCTGTACTTAAATAGCACCTGTCCCCTTCAGCTGGTCTATAAATGCAAGCATGAGCTGGCCGATAAATATAGTATTCAGGAGTTGTCTAAGGACTACCTTTAGCTGGTAACTAAAGCCTTCAGCAGGCCTATAAAGACCACCATCAGCTGGCGCAAGTCCTATTAAAAGGATTATCAAGGAAGATTCAAATTGAGAAAAAAAACAGTTATTTTTCACTCTCTGAGTGATTTTATAAATACAGTTGCCCTACAAAATACCACCATCAGCTGGCCCATGAATGAATATTCAGTTGTTTTATAAAGACTCTTCAGCTGGCCTATAAAATGGACCGTATCTGGCCGATGTACACTATATTCGGCTGGTTTATAAAGACCGCTTTCAGCTGGCCTATAAAGAGTTCCTTCAGCTGGCCCATGAATACTATATTCAGCTGTTTTATAAAGACTGTCTTCAGCTGGCCTATAAAACGGCCTTCAACTAGCCAATGAACACTATATTCAGCTGGTTTATAAAGACCGCCATCAGCTGACCTATAAAGACCGCCTTCAACAAGCCAATGAACACTATATTCAGTTGGTTTATAAAGACCGCCTTCAGCTGGCTTATAAAACCACCTTCAGGTGGCATAAAAATACAACCTTAAGCAGGCCTCTAAAGGCCATAATCACAAGGCCACCTCCAGCTGGTATATAAAATCCTATAAAGATCATCTTCAACTGGCCCAACAAAATCACCTTCAACTAGCCTATTAAGACCGCCTTCAGCTTGCTTATAGAGACCAAATTCAGATGGCCATAAAGACCACCTTCAGCTGGTTTATAAAGGCCTATAAAGACAACCATTAGCTATAGATTTGTGTAATCGTTTTTTAATATTTAATATTTCATTTATAACATTTGTATAACAATGAACTAATTTCTCTTTTTTTCTCTCAATCTCTCTCTTTGCAGTCGAGCATGGGTAATTTCATGCAAACAGGCCGAGGAGGTTACGGTAATAGTGGTAATGCCGCTGGTGGCCCTCTAAATAATTTCCATAATGTGTTTGGTGGCAGTGGGGACACAACAACGCCGGCCCTGCTCGATCCATCCGAATTTCCATCACTGACAAATGTCCGCGGCCAGAACGATCAATCACTGCCTCAGACGAATCCCCTCCAGCCGCCGGGAAGCAAACCTTATGGTAATTTCTTTACCTCTTGTGAGTTTTTCAACGAAATATTTATCCTCCGTTTTTATTATTATTATTTATTTAGTTTAAAACAACAACAAATACACTTCATACTTTCTCTCTTAGTAATTTAAAATATTTTATTTGTGTGTCTGTGTGTATGTATTCATTTTTTAGTGTATTATTTTTTTTTAGTTTAAAAAAATCATAAGTTCATTTTTGGTTAATTTGATCTACATTTCCTTTTATTTTGTGTTAACTTTGTTCGAAAAGAAAATATTTAGTTTTTATTTGGTTGTTATTTTTTATAGTTTTTTTTTTTTTTAAATAGAGCTAGGCTTGTTTCATTAAACATTTATTTATGTATGTTTTTGGTGGTGCGCTGTTTGGTGTTCTCTTTGAATCACTATGATTGTAGTTTAAATAATTGGAATTTTCAATTGAGTATTTTATTTTGGTAAATTTGGGATGACCCTCGAAAGGCTTCCGTTGTTTTAGTTAGGTCATAGTATCCTCTATAATATCATATTTTATCACTGATTCCATATGGTTGGTGGCTTGTATTACAGGAATGAATTAAATAAATAAAATAAATAAAAAATATAGAGCTGATAAAAAATGGGTCTGAATCCACAGAGTACTTTTTTCTACGACCTTTTAAGACATCCTTCAGCTGACATATAAATATGACCTTCAACGGACATGTAAAGACTAAAGACCATCTTCAGCTGGCCCATAAAGACCACCTTCAGTTGGCCTATAAATACCATAATCAGCTGGCCCATAAAGAACACCTTCAGATGGCCTATAAATACACTCTCAGCAAACATAAAAAGGCCTATAAATATTACCTTCAGTTGGCCAATAAAGACCAATTTCGGTCGTCCGATAAATACCACCTTCAGTTGGCCTATAAAGATCACATTCAAGGACCTATAAAGATTTCTTTCAGCTGGCCAATTAGCTGTACACTTTCAGTATGGCTATAAAGGCCTACAAAGATTACATACAGCTGATTAATATCGAAAGAACACCTTCGGTTGGCCGAAGATTACCTTCAACTGTCCAATAAACACACTCTCAGCAAACCTATAAAGACCTATAACGATTACCTTCAGTTGGTCAAAAATGACCAATTTGGCCGGCCAATAAATACCACATTCAGTTGGACTATAAAGATTACCTTCAAAGATCTATAAATATGCCCTTTAGCTGGTCAGTATGGCTATAAGGGCTACAAAGATTACCTACAGCTGATGTATAAAGAAAGAACACCTTCAGCTGGCCTACGTAGACCACCATCAGCTGCAATGGGCCACATTGAGCTGGTGCAAAAAGAAATTCTCTATTCTTAGAGAATAAATTTCATTAGATTTTTGGAGGATTTCGCCTTTTCTCATTTCTTTAGAAGTTGATTTTTATTTTTTTGAAAATTTCACAGATTCATTGATGAGGAGGTGGTGTGCCTGCCACCACCACCAAAATGTACATTTTTTTTTATTTTAATTTTTCCCTCAAAGAACATAAAGAAACATGTAATACGACATTATTTTGTATGGCATTCGTAATTAACAAAAATATAATTCGTTCGTACATGAAAATGGTGATTAGATGTGCACTCGTAAGTAATTCGAAATTTTGTTTGCTAAAAATTAGAGTAAAAGAAAATATTGGAGAATCCTTGTTTTAGTTTGTTGTATTAGGGTGGTGGGTGGTTGTAGTCGTCGTCGAAATTATGAAAACAAATGCTTATCATTTTTGCAATTTCAAAGAATACACCCCTACCTCAACCTGCCAAATGTGTTGTATTTGAATCTTATCCTCGTAAAGACCCAACAACCACCCACTACCCGTTTTAATATTTCAATTATTTGACCCATGTTGAAAAAAAGTAGCTTTTGATGAAAATATTGAATTGAATTGATAGCACATTCTAGATTTAAAACATATTCTACATGTTCTCAATCGCTCTCTCTATCTCCTCCTTTTCCTATATATATTGGCCTCTGTGTATTTTTACCTTCTACTTTTACTCTTTATATGCTCCTAAAAAAATCCTCAAATGCGTTATACATACAAACAAAAATAACAACAATTCGTATGCTAAGAGTCTTTTTCTCTTTCTTTTTCTCCATATATATTTTTTTTGTTTGTCGAATCCGTAACCGTGGAACGATCAATCGATACATACGTCGTCCATCATCCCATACACCAACCACACAAATCCAATGACCACCACACACACACAGTTGGCATGGTGAAACAACCAACGTCAGAACAATCCGAGTTCACGATGTCCAATGAAGACTTCCCTGCGTTACCGGGCACACACAATTCCGATGGTACAACGAATGCGGGAAGCATTGGCGGACTAACAGATAGTAATAATTTGGATGGTACGGATAAGACGATGAATTCGATTGTATCCAATAGTGGGTTGGGCGCTGTCGGTAGCGGTGCGGTAGGCTCGGGCAGTGGTGGTGGCTCAACAACAGCAGGGTCAGGAGGAGCTGGCGGTAATAGTGCGGGTGGTTCAGGAGGAGCGGCGGGAGTTGTTGGTGGTAGCTCCGGCGGTGCGCCCGGCAGCACATCAGCAGCGAGCAGTGTCGGTGGTGGAGGTGTTGGTGGAAGTGGTGGCGTAATTGGCAGTGGTATTGGTGGTATCGTTAATAACTCTGGTGTGAGTAGTGTACAGCCCAGTGGTAGTAGTGGTGGTGGTGGAGGCAGCAATGCATCAGCTGGTCTTAGTGGTATGGGTAATAGTGGTAGCATTGAACAACAACATCAGCAGCAACAACAACAGCAGCAACAACAGCAGCAGCAACAACAACAGCAGCAGCAACAACATCCGAACGATAATTCCAGCGAAAATAAATTGGTGAAAACCGGCGTGCAAACATCTCCTGATGGTACGCTCCTTTTCCCACTTATTACTACCTACCCCCCTTTTATTCTAACATTATTTATATGATAATAATAGTCAGTCCACCTTCCTTCTCCCATTTAAAATTAAATGCATGCAAATCATTTGTCTTTTTACTACTTTCTTTCTTTCTTAATTTACGAATTCAACTATTACTACTTAAGAAGAAGTGTTGGTCCTGCGCAGGATTATTATTAACATGCCATTTTGTTTTGTTTGTTCTTTCGTGTCATTTTAGGTAAAGTCACAAATATACCAGCGAGTATGGTGAATAATCAATTCGGAATGGTTGGCCTACTGACATTTATGCGTGCCGCAGAATCCGATCCAAATTTGGTGACATTAGCCTCAGGCATTGATTTGACAGGGTTAGGTTTAAATCTAAATTCCCAAGAAAGTTTGCATCCAACATTCGCTGGACCGTTTGCGGATCATCCCTGCAGGTAGGTGATTGAAACGTTCATTTTCAATGAATAAATATTTTTTCCAACATCCTATCTACATATAATTTGGTTTCAAATCTCATTATGTCTCCTTTTCCTTCTTTTCAGAGCACAAGATGTTGAATATAATGTGCCACCCGAATATCTGATTAATTTTGCGATAAGAGATAAACTTTCCTCGCCTCTATTAAAGAAACTCCAAGAAGATCTGCTGTTTTTCCTCTTCTACACAAATATCGGCGATATCATGCAACTTATGGCTGCCGCAGAATTGTATGTTATCTTCCTAAAACCCATATATCTATATTCCAAATATATATAATACCTGTTATCATCTTATTCTATTATAGACATAGTCGTGAGTGGAGATATCACATAGAGGAGAAAATCTGGATAACTCGAATTCCTGGCCTCAACCAATATGAGAAAAATGGTACAAAAGAACGTGGCACCTTTTACTACTTCGATGCGCAGAGTTGGAAACGTTTGTCCAAAGTTTTCCAAATCGATCCCGAGAAATTAGATAAATGCCCCAATTTAAGTGCGTTTATGAACATAAATGGACAGTCTGTATAATATTAATAAAAAAACAAAAAAATCTTAAAAACACGAAAAAATCTTTACAAAGTTATTTAAAAAACAAAACTTTTCTTTCGTTTTTTTAAATTAAGGATAAACAACAAAACAAAAACAACACACAAAGCATGAACAAAAAATAATAAAACAAAAACTTACAATTTATTGTTTAAACAAAAAATTCTAAAACACGCCATCATTCGTCAATATTTTTGAAATATCTTCGCAACATAAATTAGAGTTTGAGACTTGAAGGAGAAATAGTTAGAAATATTGATGAAATGTTTCTTTTTCTTTCATTATTTAATGCTTTTTTGTTGTGTTTTATGCATAGCAAATAAATCACAATTAATAGTAAAATTGTGTTTACTATTAAAGAATTTTATGAAACACAGGGATTACAACGATAATTTACGAACGATTCAAAACGTAGATGATTTTGTCGATTTTCAAAATCAAATCATACATTTCGTATATTTATTTTAACGATTAATTCATTGCACTGTCGATTCTATTAATCGAAATTGTTTTCAATTATTTGCGAGTATTTCAATAGACCTGAAACAATAATAAAAAAATATCGAAAATCATGTCATCCCTAAAAATTATTATCGATAATGATGTCTATAGAAGTTAAAAACAAAACTTGTATTCGTCAATATGGACTTGCTATCGACAAGGAATTCTGTAGAAACCATTAGTATCGATAATGAATTCTGTTTTAACCATTATTATCGATAACGATTTTCAGAGAAACCTTTGTTAGTGATTACTACTATAGAAACCAGTGTCATCGATAACCAACTCTACTGGAACCATTCGTATAGGAATCATTGTTATCATTGTTATTATATATATATATCATTGTTATCGACGAGGATTTGTATAGAAAGCATTGTTATCGATAACGATTTACCTAAAAACACTGTTATAGATAAGGAATTCCATAGAAACCATTACTATCGATGAAGATTTCTGTATTGTTAATACCATTGTTATCGAAAAGGATTCTATAGATCGATAATGATTCTATAGATACCATTGTTATCGATAAAAATATCTATAGAAACCATTTTTATCGATAAAAATTTCTATATAAAAATATTGATATCGACATTCATTTGCATATAAAACATTTGGTCTGTTCCCGTACTGCAAGAATGTACCCGATTTTCCTATTTCCTTCGATATCATAAAGGAAAAAAGTGTTATCGGAGTAAAAAATTGTAGATTCTGGCAGTACGAGAACAGGCCAATTGTTATTGACATTGATTTGTATAGGACAGTTTGTTATCGATAAGGAATTATGTATAAACCATTGTTATCGATAAAGATTTAAATAACACGTTGTTATCGATAAATATTTTTGTAAACCCACTTGTTATCGATAAGAATTTCAATAGATTCAATTTTATTTCATAAACGAGAACCTAGCCCAAAGGGCCATGAGCGATTCCAAAAACTTCATTACATGGACTACTCCAAAGCTACCTAGATACTAATGTTACCGTTAAAGATTTATATAAATACACTTGTCGATAATAAGGATTTATATAGTAACCATTGTTATCGATAAAGATTTCTATAAAGACATTTATTATCGATAATGAATTCTATACAAACCATTGTTATCGATAAAGAATTCTATAAAAACATTTGATAAAGATATAGATTTCTATAGAAACCCTTGTTATCGATAAGAAATTCTATAAAAATCATTGTTATCGATAAGGATTTGTAAGGAAACCACTGTTATTGACTATATTTTCTTTTGAAACTATTGCTATTGACATGAATTTGTATAGAAATCACAGTTATCGACAAGGTTTTCTATAAAAACGCTTGTTATCGATAATGAATTCTATGGAAAACATTGTTAACAACAAGGATTTCTATAGAAACCAGTCTTATCGAAATTTATTTTTATGGATATCATTGTTATCGATAACGGTTACGATAACGTCTGTTTCAGACGTTATTTTTACTACAATAATTTTTTTTTCCTTTATGATACCAGAAAACTTTTGTGGATTATTGCAGTACGGGAACAGAATTTAAATTATTTTATAATTATAATTTACAATAATCGGAATCCTCCTCCCTTATAAAAAATAAAAAAAATTGAAGTGTTTGTTTTACAATTAATAGCTTTTTATTCTGTCCTTTGCAATGCAAACAAATATAAAAAGAAATGTTTAAAACATATTTAGAATAGAACAACATTTACGATCAAGAAATTATCAAGACAAGGGGGTGTATGAATGCATTTATTTCCGAATATGGCACAGCCACAAACATTTTATGAAAAATGAAATACCAGTTGCCGTTGTTTTTTTTTATTCTGTTGTTTTAAAATTTGAATTTTGTTCTCGTTGTTGTTCCTGCTGCAACAAATGGGCATAATAACCCTGCAATAGCAACAAGTCTGCTGTTCTATTCTCAAGAAATGGTGTAAATTCCAATGGTATATATGGGTGTGGAGCAACAGGAGGAGTATTCATCTCAAATCCTGATGGATTGAATTCCGATTGTGCGAAGTTGGGAAGATTCAATTTAGTTAAATTATTGACCGGTTTAGTGGCCGAGGAGATCATATTTAAACCAGGAATGTTAAACGGCCTTGTAGCCATGGCACCTACTAACGAAGTGCTGGACGACGGATTTGCCTCCGCCGATTTTTGTATTGTAAGCTGTTGCAAACACAACTTAACGGCCAAATCTAAAAAGTTGCAATTTTCTGGGACATTTTTTACTTTATCCTCGATGAAAAATTTATAGACATCGACGAGTAGTTTAGTAAATAACGACTCCTTTTGATTCATATATTTGATGCATTTTTTGTGAATCTTATAAATGTCCACTAGCAGATTTAGCAATTGTTGATCATTGCGTTGTCCTTTGCGATTTTCATCCAATACATTGCGTAATATCTCAACACAATAAGTTATACATAGTTGACACAATTCTTTGCGATCGGCATCGGCAATATAACGCTTATCGGCATCGGGTGTTTTATGCAGATTCAATGAAATATCTATCAGGATTTTGTGATTGTTAGTCTTCAGCAGTAGTAGAATTAGTATGCGTACACATTTCACCAAATGGGCTGAGAAACTCCCCGGTCGATCAATTTCCGAGGATGGTATACGCCAAATGCCATTAAATAAATTCGTGTGTTTCTTCTCGTAGAACAGTCCATTGACAATGTTACCCAGGCTGGTTTTATATTGACCCATTAGCAGCTGTTCGGCCACTTCTAAATTGCGCAGCTCAGTGGGGCCATTCATAAAATGATAAACCAGCCGGTATATGGATTTGTAATGTTCGGGGAAGCGCGTTATACACTCTTCAATGTTCCTCACAACCATTTCATAGATCCGTTTGATTTCATTCAGGCTGTAGGTGTTAGGGTTGGCGGTTTTATTTTTCATTGTCGCATCGACTGCATCCGAGTCGTCACTATCACTCGATGATTCCGATGATATGGTAACTGTGGAAATTGAGCTACTTCTGGATAAAATTGGCATGATTTCAGTTGGTGCATTTGAACGTGTTTCCGTAACCTGTAACGTTCCAGACCCTCCCCCACCTCCTACGGGTGTATCCTTTATTTGAGTGCTTCCTTGATTGTCGCTTGATGAAACTTTGCCCTTAATAATATTCAAAGAACTACCATCAATTTTAGCCTTGTTCAGGGCAAAGGGACTATTTGCTAATTTTTTTAAAACTTTCTTAAATAGGTCTCCATGATTCCTGGATACTATGTTTTCTCGGGTGACAATATATTTTATGATGGAGGCATTTATGCGATAAAACACCTCCAGGGCCTCCACAGATAACGAGGTGGGATTACTGTGATTCACTTTGATGGGATAGGTGGCATTGCTTTCGTACAGATAGTTGGCTGCCAACAGATAATTATTGATATAAGTACTGGGATCTTCTTGGCGTTTCTCGGAGATTTTTCCCAACATATATTGACACAGCCATTTTTCATCATTGCTATCAGCTGAGGTGTGGGCATCATCGCCCACAGAATTTTGTATTGAATTTGTTGTGGTAAAACAGTTGTGGGCAATATTCAACAACTTCAATTTTCTTTCGGCCACCACTTCATCCAATGGACTTCCCTTCTCGGCAGATTTGGTACCTCTTAGGTGGCGCGAGAAAAACGACTGTAGGGTATAACAAAAAGAACCATATTCAATCCATAAAAGCGTCTGAAATCTGTCCAGCGTAATGCAGCATTCGAAGCAGCGTATCACTTGTTCACACTCCTTCCACAGGGCATCCAAATTGATTTGATCCAAACCGTTTAGTTTGGTTTCAATTTGACTGGCCTTGGACAGGGCCACACCAGCCCATGAATCAAATCTTGAGGGATTTATAACCAAGTCCAGGGTGTAAAATTTTATGGCCTTGGTAAAATCGCGACTTTTAAAATTATAATCTGCCAGGAGATAATAGAGGTTCTTTAGTTTGTAAGGAAACTCAAAGTCATCCTCAATTTGGGATGGATGTTCACTGCTCAAACCCTCTATGTAGTTGATAACCTTAAAGGTGCTCTGGGAGGGGTCAACTTCTCTGGGCACCAAGCCAACAATTTTCATTAACATTTGTTCCATATCCGATGTTATGGACTCCAGTTTATAGGAATTAAATTCTGGCAATTGTTCCGGTTTGTAGATATCGAATATCTGTACTGCACGGGACCAGTTTAATTTCACCGGTTCAGCTTCATGATCTTCAAGATATTTTGAACGTGCCTTTCTCGGCGGATATTGGAATAGGCAATATGTTACCTGTTCAATGTATTCGTACATGACATCACGACAACCATCGTAGATGGGAGCTTTCAAATTTGTTACCACCGCATCCAAGATATACTGTAGAAATTCGCCATTATCATTGGAACACCAGTGACGTCTGCCCAAATATTCGTGGGCCGTGAATAGAATTTGAAAAGAGGCCGGTACTAAATCATCAGCTTCTTCGGCACTCTTACCTTCATCCCGCATTTCTTCATCTCTTAAGGCCAGTTGGTGTAGTATCGACCACAGAGGTTTGAAATCCAGATCCTTGCCATGTGAATTATTTTTCTCAAAATTGCCATCAAATTGATAGACCACGAGGCGTATCAGATTTTGTACCATACGGCAGAGATTCTCATTTGCAAGTGTGGCCACAATATCACGCCCTACATTTAAAATAATGGCTTCGATATATGAAGTTACGTAATTGATAAAAGTGGACATCATCTTTTGCCTGCTCAGGCTTGGCCTGGTTTCATCCAAAAAAATGCCCACCGAGTAATGGAAACATTTCTCACACCACAACAAACATGTTTCGTACGACGCCAACTTCCATAGGGCCTGTAGAAGTATTTCAAATATCGTTTGAGTATCTTTCAGCCAATATTCATTTTCGAAATTATTCGCCGTGATTTCCACATTTCTTGTGATAACATCGACAAGTTGGGGCCATTGTTGTTTATCATACAACACCCTCAAGCTGCATATGTCCATTTGACTTTTGTATTGACTCTTCATATTGCCAACTAAATCCAATTGCAGACAATATCCCCCCGAGTGGGGTAAATGTAATACGAATTCGGGAGTATTACTTTGTCCTCCCAACAATATTTCAATTTCATCCAAGCATGTCAGGCAGCCAGGATAATCACTGCTGGCAGCGCATAGCAAATATTTGATATAGGTCAGACGTATTTCAAAATGGTCCACATCAGTGGAATTTCTTCCTTTGCCTTTACTCGATCCAATGTTGAAACACAAGTGATAAAAGATGTTCTTCCATTTTGGATCTTCAAATAGCTCCTCACAGGCAGTTAACTCGAGAAATAACAAACAAATACGATAGGAGGACATAAAATCCAAGGCGGCCAATTGATTTGCGGTGGGTAAATCGAAATAGGACATATAAAGCTCAAAGATTTCGGTGTACAATGTCTTAATCGACTGAGGCAGGGAAATGTTCCAAAAACTTGAAACGCTTTTCAACCATTTGAATATAATTTCCATTAAATCAGTCTTCGTTGATTTGAGGTTATTTAAGAATTCCTCAAATACCGATAAGGTATCTGTATGGAACTCATCCTCAGTGGGTGGATTAGCACATTTGGTACATTGCCGATCAGCATTTACATTGTTTTCTTTTTCGGTAGAATTCTCTCCAAATGGCCACGATGAAGCTGGAATCTCCTGCATATATTTGGAAAATGTCCGTCGTAAATAGGAATTTAAACTATCATCGGGTTCCTCCTTATCGGCTTTCTTGCGTGATGAATATCTTCGATTTTTGTGCCAACCCCATTGTTCGAGAAAATGTAAATCACTGCAACGTCTTCGGGCCTTGTTTTTGGTGGTCTCAATGCCGCCCTCAACCTTGGCATTTGAATCCGAGTCATCATTATTGGAATCCATTGGCTGGGATTCCGATGCATTTTCCACAGTAATCTTGTTCGTATCAACACCACCACCACCGAGAGGAGTTGTTGTAGAATTCGATACTTCTTGCATATCTTTGTTGTCCTCATTTTCCTGGAGAACACTATCGGCATTACAATTGTCAGCATCTTTTGAGGATTCCGTTTTCATAACATCTTTAAATTCGAATTGGAAAAACAAACTAATTCCATTAGTTTGTAAATACTGATGAAACTGCAATATAAATTGACCTATGGAACGCCAATTTAAATTATCAATCTGCATGCTTTGCAAGTTAACATCACAGCTCAATATATCATTTGAGGGTTGGATACCACCACCCATGACATTTTTATACACACGTTTTAAATGGCTTTCACACGTATTGTTGTTGTTGCGAGGAAAATCATGTGCCGAACTGTTCGTCATATTCAACACCGAGGAATTCGATTTAAACCATGTCAAAATATCCAACACCATTTCATACGCCGCCTTATGTTTCGGATCACTGGTACACAATTCCCGTGCATGATTATACAGTCGTATCAAATTGCAATTATAATTCAAAGACATCAGCAAGCCATCGGCTGCCTTCCAATGCAATGCATTGCTGGCCAAACATTTTTCGAAAGCATATTCCGCCAAATCCACCGAATTCAATTTCAGAGCCAATTGGGCAAATTTATGCAATGTATAGATATCGGTACTATCAATCAATATTGCCGATATATAATGGTGCAGAGCCATTTCATACTCCTTCTTGTCCTCCAGTATAAGACCAATATTCTTATGACAATTGTATTTAATAAATATCATTTTGTTGTTGTGGTGCTCCTCGTTTATCACCTGGGTATCCAACAGTTCATTGAGCAGGGAGAGGGCTGCTTCAGTGTTACCCTCCGCTTTAAGTTTAATGGCGCGCACATATTCACTTTCGGCGATGGCTTCCTGAGCTTCTTTTGTTGCGACAAATTCATCCTGCTCCGAATCTCCTACTTCCTCGTCATCGTTCAGTGCAACAATTTTAATCATTTTCCCCCGGTGTAAATTACTGTGTTCGGGAACGAAGTTATTCGAAGGAATGATTCCGCGGAGATGCGACCAAAGAGAATGACCAATAAAACTGGGCAAAAGAGAAGAAAATGTTGTTTTTGTTTACGAATGAGTGTATAACAAGTGTGATGATGAAAAATTGGCACATAAAAATGTGAGAAACAACTGATAAATAGGTAGAGGTAATTCGAATTCAGAATTAAGGGGTAAACACATAAGTGGACTTCAGGATTGACATGTTAAGTTTGCTGCCTTTATTGTAAAATATTAAAGGAGAACGGCGTCCAAAATCCAGATTGACTCTAATATTCCTTTATAAATTGGCATTTCATACAAAGCCAACTTAACAGGCCAGCCCTGAATCCTCATATGTGTTTCCCCCTTTAGTTCGAATGTTACAAAAAGAATCTCTAAGTTTTTACTACGATAACAATTTTTCCTTTATGATTGGTATGTTCCCGTACTGCAAGAATCTACTACGATAACGAACTTTCGTTTTTGATATCGTAGGAAATAGTAAAATCTAGACTCTTGTAATACTGGAACAGGCCAAATATCGACAAAAATGTTTAAAAAAATGAGATATTCTTGCAGTACGGGAGCATACCATTAAGGAGGATTCAGGCCATGCCTGTTAAGTTGGCTTCGTATGAATTGTCAATTTATAAAGGAATATCCGAGTCAAACTTGAATTTGGACGTCGTTCTCTTTTATTCTTTTACAATAAAAGAGGCCAACCTGTGTTTCACCCTTCAAACTCCGAAGCGCAACACACACCATCGTTTCCTTGTTGATAACACACAACGTGACGGCTATCCGTCAACGCAAACATTCTGCTTAGCCATTTACATATCTTTCGCCATGATTCAATCTATAGATTCCTATGTGTTTGTGAATTGTTTTTTTTTTATCACCTAACAAAATCGATTTGTTTATCCCTACATCAGTGCGTTTAAAACAGCTGCTGGCATGGCCTATAAATAAGGTCACCAAGGGAGACCAGCTGATTATAGATACCTCTCAAGTTTGCTGTCAAAATGCATTATTGTGAATTGACATCCATTATGAAAACGTAAACAAAGTCGAAATTTTTGACATTAGACTTGAGAAAAAAACAGCTGTTTTCCGATTTCGATTGCTATCTTGGTGACCTTATTAATAGATCTTGGCTGCTGGCTAGTCTTCGGCTCATGGCCTATAAATAAGGTCACCAAGGGAGACCAGCTGATTATCGATACCTCTCAAGTTTGCTGTCAAAATGCATTATTGTGAATTGACATCCATTATGAAAACGTAAACAAAGTCGAAATTTTTGACATTAGACTTGAAAAAAACAGCTGTTTTCCGATTTCGATTGCTATCTTGGTGACCTTATTAATAGATCTTGCTTCGGCTCGTTTGCTTTCACCATAGTTTACAGGGTTGTAATTTGCAAACTCGGAATGTGAGCTGCCCTAAAACAAAGTTAGAGTCTAAACGCAACCATAGAGTCTAGAGTCAGCGACAGCCCTTTGCCGTGTATTTCTTATAGGCAACGGGAAATCGCGACGGCTGACGTTCTCGTCTAGCGGCTTGACGCTAGAATAGATTTTATTCATTTTTGCTCAGCGTCATACTCAAATGTTCTCTCTTGCTCTCAGTTGAGTTGCCATATTTTAGGTAAAAATGAACAGTGCTACCAAATTTCAATGAGAATCTATATCAAAACATATGGCAGTGCTGTTAAAAAAACAAATATTTTCAAAGATTGTGGACGTTTTTTGAACGAATTAATAATAAAATGGAAGAAAAATAATTTTTTCAATAATTTTAAGGGCCCCATACACTATACATCATGCCGTACAGCATTTATCATAGTATCCCAGTTGTACAAAAAATATCAATTGTCTGCTATTATATAGTTATATAGCTAGTTACTTGGTGATCTAGTTACTTCATACCCCAAAAAGGAACACAAAATAGACTGTTGGATTTTTTTGTCAATTGAAAAAGTTGTTTACGCACATCATACCAATTCAGTAGTTACTGGTTATGCAAAGGGTAATGAATCGACTATCGAAATGACTGTATACTGGTAACGCAGGCAGGGGACAATTGACTTCCCCAATGACATACACATGTTAAATTCACCAGTCTAGGGCATGAAGTGGTAACTAGTGGTACTTACAGGTAATTAGTAAAATATCTAGTTCATCACCAGTTAGTCGAACTACTGGGATGTGTTATTTTTTGAAAGTTTATTTATGTATGAGTGACACACACAATGCATGAAGAAAATCAAAATAGTTTTGATTTTGAAAATGAACCCCTATCAATCTGGTGAATAATATTAATTTTGATAGTTGTCAGTAAATAATTTTGTATACAAAAATAATAAAATTGTGACGGAATAAAAAACAACTGAATTTACGATAAAATGCAATTTTTGGGACAAAAATCGATTTTTTGGAATAGTGATTGAAGAGTTTGCCATACACTAGTCAATCTCACATATACAAAAAGGGGTTCATCGGCATGACGGCATGATTTATAGTGTATGGGGCCCTTTATCCAAGTTCCTTGACATTATTGTTTATTAAATAATAAATTGAATTTTGTTTGCACAACGTAAAATTTTCTGTCAGAAAATAAAAACAAATAATTGACATTTTGTGCCGCTAACGCTAACTCTTTCGTTTGGTTTCCACGCCGGCGAAAAAGTATGACGCTGACTCGTGACTCTCTGGTTGCGTTTAGACTCTTACTTGTAATCTTTTGGGCTTGCTGAATGGACGCAGATGCATCATTGAATTAGTTTAAAAATTTATTTAAAAATTATTAACTGAACTTATCGTCTTGCTGGCAAGGAAGATGAATACGCCGGGTATTAGTTTATTTAAGGGAGCAGAAAGCCTGAAAATAAACACCAGCTTAGAAAGGCAGGAGGAAGAAGAGGATTTGGAAGATCAAAGGCGAAGGCAAGCAGAGGTATTTCTAAAAAAACATTACTTTAGAACAAAATAAATAAAAAAAATAAAAATTTAAATGTTAAATATTTTTATTTTGTCTTAGAAAAATATATTTTTTAATATGAATATTAATTTTTTTTTGTTTCCCTTCCCAGCTTGGTAACCTATTACAAAATGCATTTGATGATTTAGATGACGACGAGGGGACAATTGATTCCACAACAAATTTTCAAAGTGACTTGGCAACAGATGATCATCAACAGCTTGAAGTCGCCTTACCTTCTCACCCGTATGGAAACAATGTTTTTAATAAGCCACAACAGCCATTTGCGGCTCAACCTGCGGATCATTCTTCATGTGAAGCTGAAATACATAACTTGAAAATGGCTTTGGAGTCACGTAGCCGAGAATTGGAACATTCACAAGGGCTTCTAAAGGAGGAATATAAAGCACGCAATGAATTGGAGAAAAAATTATCCATAACCGAGGCTGAATTAGATCGTGCTTTGTCAAATCGCAATAGTACTCATGAATTGCTGGTGGAAGCCAAAGAGAAATGTTCCAACCTAGAGAGTATGATAGACAAACTAAAGACTGAAAAGAAACAAATAGAAGCTGAGAATAATTCGCTGATAGGAAAACTGGATACAGCACAAATGCTGCTCGCCGATGTTCAAAGAAAATACGATATGGTCGAACGTGATTTGAACAAAAATACAGAGCGTAATTTTGAAATGAAACGTAAACACATGGAAGATATGCATCGTGCCGAAATGGAGATACTGCAACAACAAATACAACAAACAGCTAATAAATTAGATAAGAAATCCTCCGAATTGGAAGTTATGAATACGCGATATCAGACACTGCAACAAAATCATGAAATGATGCTATGTGACAAGGCCAGTAAAATCAATGATCTAAGCCATGCCTTGGATCAGGCCCAGAAACGTTGTGAGGAACTGATGTCACGTCCTGATTATTTTCAAGAAAACGTTCGACTTCAAAAGCTTGTGGCCAGTCTACAGGAACAAATCAAGGGCATGGAGAAAAATATTGCCTCTCTGACGGAACGTTTGGAAATGACAACGGCTGAATTGGATGTGATGGATAGTGTTTTACATCAGCACAATATGGAGGATACACCCAGACGTTTGAGTCAAACGCATGGACGTGTTGTCGGCAGTACACCACTTAATCCCATTGATCGAGTGGGCAATCTTAAAGATGAATTATATAGAGCATTGGCCAATGTTAAAGCCAAACGGGAAGAGGTAAAACGACTACAACAAACCGTCGAGGATAAACAAAATGAAATACGAATTCTAAAACAAGAAGAAAATAAATCCTTGGTGCAAATTACCACTCTCAAAGAGGAGAATATACGTTTGGAAAATAAACTTAAATTGCTTGAGGAAGAATATGAACATTTGAAGTCCAACAAGGATCCCAATAGCACCCAACAAGACAATCAATTGCAAACGCTGAAACAAGAACTCGAAGAATTACACAGTCAACACAAACAGCTGAAGATGCAATGTGCCACCCTGGAGCAGGAGAAACAAAGTCAAGAAATGGAACGTAAAAAATTGGACTTTCAAATAAAAAATCTCGAAATTGATTTGGAGGAGCTGAAGCAAGAGCATGAAAGTTTGAAAATGAATTATGAACATGTGTGTAAAGAAAACATGGATCTAAAGCAACGGAATACCACAGACAATTTGCGCTTGGAATTGGAGAAACACAAGTTTCTGCTCAAAGATGCCCAGGCAGAATGTGATCGTTTGAAAAATCTCTATGTCGAAATATCAAATGCCAAGGAGGCTATGTCATATGAAATGGATAAGCTATTGAAATCCGATCAGGCCAAAGAATTACAAATGGCCAAAGAGAAAATTGCCCATCTACAGAGATCTTTGCAATTAGCGGAAGTTAAGACCTCAGAGTTATCCAAAATGTTGGAAACTGAAAAATTGTGCCATGAAAGGGAAGTGGGCACCTTGAGAGAAAAATTGGAAAAAGAAAAGGTGGAGGCTTCGAAAGCTTCCAAAGAAGCTGCAAATGAATGTGCTAAATGTATGGACTATGTGGCTGAATTGACCAAGGTAAGTGGTGTTTTTGTTAACATTTTTCAAAATAATATTCTTTTATTTTCTTTTAGTTTGAAATACAAAATCTTAAGCTGACCAATATTAATGCGGTTTGCAAAAAAGAAATTGATGATTTGAAAAAGGAGTTGAAAACATCCAATGATCACATTGCTGAACTCAATGATCAACTAAAAATATCCGAACACCAGGAACAACTTATTAAAGAACTCAAAACCAAAGCCGCCCAATTTGAGGAATACATAAAATCGCAAAGTTCAACAGCAGATAATTCCCACAGTTCATCGGTACGCAGCTCTAAGCAAATGAGTGACAAAAGTGTTGTCACCTCTCCTGAACTTGAACGAAATGAGACAAAGAAAATAGAGGCCCGCATACGCGATGAAATGGCAAAAATCTTTGCAGTTGAATTGAAAAAAATCCAACTGAAAATGCATCAAACCCAGGAACAAAGTTTATGTTTGCAACGGGAATATCAACATGTTACGGCCGAGTTGCAGCAGCGACAAAATGAAGTGGATCAATTGAAGGCGGCAATATTACTGGATCGTGAAAAAATGGAAGAAATTCTCAAACAAAAGGACGAAGAAAATCATGAAATGCTACAAAAAATGAATTTGATTGTGCAAAAGTCCCGGGAAGAGTTGCAAATGAAAATTGCGAAAATTAAGGATTTGACACACGAACTTAATGAACGTCAGCAGCAAATTGAAGCGGAACGCCAGTCTATGAAGGCTGTTATGAAACAATGGGAGGAGCAAAGGAAATCCCTCGACACCGTGGAAATGGAATGGAAACAAAAGTTTTTGGATTTACAAAAGGCTCATGAATTGTCGATAACGTCGTGGCAAACTAAATACAATTCAGCCAAGAGAACGGCAGCTAATTATAAGGTGGGCAATTTGAATTCGATATATGATTCCTTTTAGCATTATTTAAAACTTTTGTTTAATATTTGTTGCAGCGCTATTCGGAGGATAAAGAAGCTCACATGCTCAAAGAATATGATCGTTTAAAATTTGAATATGATGCTTCGTTGGCCAAAATAGAAGCACGTTTAAAAGAGGCATATGAAAAGAAAAACAAAGAAGTGAGTAAAATTAGAAATAACTAATCATTTAAATAAACAATTATTCCATTTTCAGCTTATGAATGCCCTGAATGATAAGAATGCCAATGGTAAAAATAATCACAACAACAACAACAAAGAAAACACAGCAAGCAATTCATAGATTTTAAGTTATTTAAATATTTATAATTATATGATGTTCTTCCTAGATAAATTCTATGTAAACACACATTTTGAAAGCACTGGTCTGCTTTTTCCCCCCATTCCTAATCGTATTATGATTGTTATGTATTTTTATTATTTATGTACTCAATTCATGTATTAATCTTTTAAGTTGTGGAAATTGCACATTCCATTAATATTTTCTTCATAAAAAATTTATTATTTTAAAAATGTAAAATGTTATAAATGTATTATCACAAAAAATAATAAATATTATTATCAAATTGGTTATTTTAATAGCTCTTTTAAATATAATAAGGAGTCCACACACATAAATCTTCTTAAAAAATTGTTCCTTAAAATTACTCTCTGCCTCTCTGCCTTGCAATTTTTCGGCTATCCTATGTACCGTTACAATTGATGTCTTTGTTTTTGCTGAAAGACAGACAAAACTGTCCGAGGGTTAAAATAAGACTTGTTTTTTTCCAAACTCTGTGCCTTCAAATTTTAGATTTTTATTCCGACAAAAAAATTTTTTGACACTGAAAGGGTTAAACGACTACCCTCCTCATGTCCCTGCTTCAAAAACAAATGGGGGTTTTAAATTAAATTACCATCAGCCTTGAAAATATATTATGTATAAAAAATAAGTTAATAAAACACTTTATATATTTTTAATGATTCATTTTTTCATTTATTTTTATTTCATTTTATATTGATTAGGGAATAATATGTTGTTATTTTTTTCTTGTTTAATATTTTTTGTTAATCACAATCTCTGATCTAAAAATTATAAAATTATTATACAATTGAATCAGTTCGTTAATAAATGTGTGTGTGTGTGTATATAGGTATGTATATTTATAAATAGTCGAATGCAATTGTATGTATATATGCAGTGTTATTTTTATATATAAAGAAACAAAAACCATTTCATTGATTTTATCAATATCCTGTTCGAGGACTGTTTAAGGACTCGCTTTCATGACTACGACTGTAAAGTTTAAAATCACTTAAAATTATATAAATAAAAAAAGCTTTGCATACATAAAATAATAATAAAAATATAATAATAATAATGGTATGTTGGTAAGGTGGTTTTGTTTATCTATGATCTATATGATTAATCAATCATTTGCAAATTTTATAGGTTAGGTTACAAAAATATATATATCATAAAAATTAAAAAAAAATGTTTTTTTATTCCTACAAATTAAGTAGAAATTAGTCTGTTTTATACTAACTACTACAAACAAAATATTTTTTGTTGTTGTTATATGTAAATTGAATATGTTTTGTTGTTGTTTTGGAAATGGAATGATAAATTATAGTGTTTGGCTGAAAACATCAAGGGTACTCATTTTTACATTTCAATTTTTCCACATACCCACATACATAAAATAATGCTTAAAAATGAAATACTTAAAAATCGTTTTCTGGTAGTATTAGAAAAAAAAATATTCCCAAAATCCATCCATCAAAAATTTTTGAAAAGAAAAAATCTTAAAAAATCCCTGCTGGAAAAATATTCCTAAACTTTCCTGATTTTTAAAGATCTTAAAAAGTACGTAAAAAAATAAAAAAGTTATAGACGACCAAAAAATATGTTTAAAAATTCCCCAACTTTTATAGAATTTTAAAAATCCACACCCTGAAAAATAGTCTTGAAAATACACGCATTTTTTTATAAAAAAATATTTTTGAAAACAAATTGTTCACTGAATTTTTTCCATTATAAAAAATAATTTGGAAAAATATTTTAAAGAAAAATCCACATATTTTATAGATTTTAGAAAAATATTTTTAAAGAATTCAACACAATTTTATAAAAATAATCTTAAAAAGACTTTTTATAGAAAAAACTATTTTTAAAAAATCTAATCTTAAAAATTCCACAATTTTATAGACTTTGGAAATCTACTTTTAAAAAATCTACGCCTTTTGTAGACCTGGAAAAAAACATTCTTAAGAAAATCCACGAATTTTACTTTTTTTAAATATACTTAAAAAATTATATGGAGATAAGAAAAATATTTTTAGAAAATCCACAAATTTGGTGGAATTGGGAAAATCTTAAAACAAAATGCACGTCAATTATTGATGTTAAAAAGTATTCCTTAAAAACTCCACGCCTTTTATAGAAATTAAAAAATATATATATTTTTAGAAACTCCACGCCTTAAATACCCCTTGAAAAGTATTTTCATAAAAATCAACACCATTTACATTCCATTAAAAAAATTCTTTAAAAAAATCCCATTATTTACAAAATTTAAATAAAATATCTAAAAAATCAACGTTCTTTATAGGCCAATATTCCTAAAAGTAGTATTAAAAAAATTTAAATATTTCATGGGAATGTTCTACAATTTTTTATAAACTGAAAGTATATAAAATTAAATAAAAAATCCCCTGTGTATTTTTCATGTTCTACAATTTTTTATAAACTGAAAGTATATAAAATTAAATAAATAATCCCCTGTGTATTTTTCATTTTCAGCCAATATTTACGATAAGTCTATCTACTAAAGTTGTCTATATGTAAAATATTCAAATTATACTATAATAAATTTCAAATATATTTATGATATATAAATTCTAAGATTTTCTTTGTGAAAATAAATAAACAAAAAATACAATTTTTATTTTTTTTTTAATTTTACATTTCCATTTCATTAACAAAAAAATACATTATCCAAAATAGCAATACAAATTTTTGGAAAAATATCAACACACATTTTTCTTCTAAAAAAATAATTTAAATGTTTTTTATTACAACTAATTAATATTTATTTATATATATACGCAAATATTAAACAAAAAAACAAAGCTATGTGGAATTAACAAAATAAGTATATTTTCGGAGATTATAATATAAATAAGAGTATATATGTGTATGTATGCATGTATTTATGTTGTATGTATATATTATATATGTGCACAATAAATTCTTAACAATATTTTAATAATAATAATCATATATGTATATGTTTTGTATATTATAAATATGGATGATTATAAGGAACCCAAAAGGAAAGAATTATTAAAAAAAAAACACAATTCAGATTATAACAAAGGAAAAGTAATCTGTGTGTTTTGTAAAGAAAGAGATTTGAAAATAAAAAAACTGATATTGAAGTGTTGTTATTTGTTGTTTGGGATTTAGAACAGAAATGTTAGCACCAAGAGAAAAAGGGACTTTTATTTTGGAAGCGCTGTGTAAAGGAGAAAAAGCCACGTGATGCACGGGATCTGAAATAGAAAACAAGGGAACAAAGAAATAAATAAACACATTTTCCCATAAAAATATATTTTTATTTTTTTTTTTTGTAGACACTCACCTTTCAATAACAACGGCAGGCATTTGCACCAATTGAACCGGTGATTTGCCATCCTTCAGGGCCTGTGTTAAATTCAAAATCTGTCCACGCATCACTGACATTTGTCGTTCGAATAGACGTTTATCGAATCCCTTATCCTGCTGAAACAGATAATACAAATCCGTACACAATTCTTCAACAAAATTCATATCCGATAATTGCGGCAGTACTAATTGTTTTATTTCTTCGCTAAATGGCACTTTAGCCTGTGGCAACCATGCCCAGTGATAGGGATAGGCACGCCATGAATCGGGATGTTTAAAGGGAAACGCTAAACCATTATCGATGGCTGCTATTTTAATTTCCGGAGCATCTACCACACTCCATTCGTTACGTTCTGTGGTTGGTTGTTTCCGTGTCTGTTTCGGATCACCCTCACCAGCCGACGACGATACAGACGATGAACTATTTGTCGTTGAGGTGCTATGCAGCGAACCAGATTGGATATCAACCAATTGGCCGCTGGCATTTTTATTTTGTTCAATGTTGTTATTTGTTGTAGCTGGTGTTTGTGTATCAATGGGATCGGTATTAATAATGTTGGCTGTTTTCACTTCATTCGATGATGACGATGTGGTGGTGGTGGCGTTACCGGAAAACAATGATTTGCCACCCGTACCATTCACTTTCTTTGTAATTTTCGGTTGAACATATTTGATTAACCAATTGTCATTGCCACGATCTGTATTACGTATAATATAATCTAAGACAACTAAACGTTCGAATTGCAATTGAAATGATTTAGCTAAGGCCTCAGAAAGTGGTTCTTGTTCGAAACGTCTTAGCCAATAGTCGGCATCTTTGTAGCCTTCTACAAAGGTTTGAAATGAACCAGTCTGGAAAAAGAAAATTGGATTAATGTAAAAACAAATTGTTGGGGAGGTTACTTAATTTAGATCGCGCATACCTTTAAGGGTAAACTCATACGGTTGAATTTAGCTGAGGGATAGTGTTCCTTGATCCTTCTCTTTAATTTGGCTTTTTGTCGATCGATGCGTGCATAATTGAAAGTTTCCGCTACCAATCGTACAACTCTGGTCTTTGGCACAACATTTAAATTCAATTTGCGATCGACTAAACTTGCACCGGCTTCCGAAAGGTAACTGGAAAGAAAAGGCATGAGAAACAAGAGATGAAGGTTGGTTATCATCATTTAGATGAAAGTTGTGGAAAATATATATGAGTGAAAAATCTAAATCTGAAGCGATTTTATTTCTGTTATGGCTTGGAAAAAAATATTTTTTTTAAAAAACCAAGCCTAAGCATTTTTATGGATTGGAAAAAAATATTCTTTAAAAACCTAAGCATTGTTTTCTAAAGAAAACAATTCTCAGTAACCTGGGAGTCTTTCTTCTATAGAAAAAAATCCCTCAGCAAACTGAGAAGTCTTTTTCTTGAAAATATTTTTTTAAACACCCTTATTATTTACAAGTTTTAGTATTTTACATTAACAATTTTGATTTTCCACTCACCCCTGATTTGGTATTAAACAGGCACGACCAAAACAACATGGACAACATAATTTATGCATCCATTTGGTCCATTTGGGATTAAGGCGTCCATAGGGTTCTTCATCTTTGGGTTTGAAAACAGCCAAGATTTTCTGAAATAATTAAAAAAAGTTTTATTATTTCCTTTCTACTACCTTTTCCCAGTTACAACATCAATGAGATGATTTGTGAATGTTTGACGTTAAACCAAAAATTTAACAAATATCTTCTCTGTTGTTAAATTTCCCCGTTAAGTCATCATTAAGAATTACTATTAGCTTTGTGTTTATGGGAGAGATAATATCTTAATTGGTCTTTAATTAAAATATTGTCAATTTTCAAAGCTAGAAGTGAGATGAGTGATGGAGTGAAATAGTTTTAAATTAAGTCTTACCCCCGAGGCATTTTTAACAAAATATGATCCACTGCTGCCTTGATAAATACGCTCCGGCATAACACCATGCTCAATGGCAAATTCCACTTGGGCAACAATCTCTGTAAAACTGGGATCATCTGAAAAGGAAAATTGGAAACAGAAGCACAGATTAGGAGTAAGTAATGTATCAAATTTTGTCATGGGCTGCGAAAAATAGATTTCTAGGTATTGAATATAGAGATGCCATGTCTGAATATGTTTAATCCTTTCCTAACACATTACAATAATTGTTATAATTCGCTTAGATAGAACACCTATTCACATTTGCTAAGGATAACATTCATTCACCCAATCACCCAGAAAAATGAGCCCTTTGACATTTTTTGTAGCAAAAGAAATTTGAAGATTTGAGAGGCTTGTTCAGATAGAATCCTTTTCGTGTATGTATATACAGTTCATTTCAGAACTTCTATTTAAAATTTTGTTTTTCAGGTATAATTACTAAAGAAATTCGTTTTCAATAACATCAGACGACCGGAAGCCCGCTTTCGACATTGTCTCTTGTAGAAATACTTGAAAGGACATAACATTTCCGTTGAGCGTTGAAACATATACTAGTAAAACCCAAATTGACCCGATGGCGTCTGAAGCAAAAACAGGCCCTAATAATAATTTTAATTCTTTTCAATTTATAACTTTGTTCAACGATATAAAAATAGTTTTTAGTTTTTTAGGCGGCCAATTTTCGAAGAAGAGAAAGGTACATCAGAAGGAAATACTTCCACATATTAGTTTAGTGTGTCGTATTTGATATTCATTGATTAAAAATTAATAAAAAAATTCACACACATACACACAAAACCTTAAATATATATAGTTTTTCAATTAGGAATCCTTTAACTTCAGCGCGCACACACACAAAAGCACACACTTGATGATGGCGGTGTGCCTTCGACGTCGTCACATATTAATTGGGCATACAACAATAATGAAATCTAAATTTTTTTTGTAAAATTTTTTGTTTTACCATAAGGACAGACATTGTTGAAGTTGAAAAGAATGGGTATAAGCTCAGGCGAAAGAACCAATTACCATTGAATTGCGTTGTTATATTTACACCAGCTGTTATGTATTCATATGAATCTACACTCTGCAATGAAATATTATCCATTTTTGGACGTTATAGTTATTGACTAGTCAAACAAAACTGTAGTCCGGCTTTTTTCGTCAAATGTTCGACTAGAGAAATGTAGTCTTTGTTGCTATATGTTGTGTGTTCTTTTCGGTTCGGTATCTTATACAATTTATTTGCAATTATTGTTTTAATTTTGTATGGCAGGGTTGGAATTTTCATTGCCACATGGACAAAAAATTCCTCAGTAAGATAAGGAACATTTTTCTATAGAAAAAAAAAATCCTCAGTAAGCTGAGGACAATTTTTTCTATAGAAAAAAGTCACCTCAGGTTACTGCGGAATTTTTTTCTATATAAAAGTCACCTCAGGATAAAAGTCATTTCAGGTTACTGAGGATTTTTTTCTATAGAAAAATTTTCCTCATCTTACTGAGGAAAAAAAATATAGAAAAAATTGCCCCCAGCTTACTGAGGATTTTTTTCTATAGGAAAAATTGCCCTCTGCTTACTGAGGAATTTTTTTCTATAAAAAAAATTGTCCTCAGCTTATTTTATATTTTTGTTTTATTTTTTTCTAAGAAAAAATTGTTTGTTTTTTTCTATAGAGCTTACTGAATTTTTTTCTATTTTGCCCTTTACTGATTAATTTTTTTCTATAGAAAAAATTATCCTCAGCTTACTGAGGAATTTTTTTGTATAGAAAAATGTCTGAAGAAATTTTTTCTACAGAAAAACTTTCTCCTCTGAGGAATTTTATTCCCAACCCTGGCTATTTTAGAATTAACCTCGTTTCTGTTCGTATTGCAACCAAATGAAGAATGTATGTGAACATACCAAAATAAACAATGTTGTTGTGGTTGTTGGCGTTATGAAAAAATCAGTGGCGGACACAAATGGTTATTTACTGAAACAAGTAGTTTCTGATAGTAATTCATATAAAATGTTTCCGAATAATAAAAGGGATATTGTTACCAAAAATACATAAAATTTTAAAGTGTGTCAATTTCAAGGCAATCACCGACAGGCCTTAAAAATCCGTCACCTTTTTAAAATCAGGACAATTTAATTGTAGTTGATAATAATGATGAGTGCTGTGGTGGGGGTGGTGATTTTCTGTTGTCGTGCGTGTTTATTGAAACGTGGCGTCACATAGCATTGCACTTGAATTGAACTCTTGACAGACGAAAGAATAAACAAATATATATAGTATATACACATGATGTATATTTTTCAAAACTCAAAGGTTAAGGATAAATACGTTATAACTTATATTCCTTTTATTTGCATTCTTGAAAAGTCGTTTAGATTTTTTTAAATACTAAATTTTTTAGCAAGTATAATTTTAATAATAACTTTTGTAAGAAGTTTATTTATTTTGCTTTTTTTGCACCTTGAAATTCAAAATTGTCGTTGTAATTAAATTCGTTGGCAAGATTTTCAATATACAATGGATTGATGTAGAAAACACTTGGATTGGTTAAATGTAAGTCTGTCGTTGTCATATTCGAAACTATGTCGGTGAATTTAACAAATCTACCAAATAAGCCGAAATACCTTAAAAACAGTTAAATTAAATTTGCATTTAATGCTGATAAGAGGACAGAAAGGCAGACTTACAGTCATTTTTAAGTGGACAATTTATACAACGACATTGAGCTTGTCCCCAGTCCCATGCCGCTGAGCTTGAAGAGATAGACACGAAAGAATGTGTTATCATTAACGGTGTTATAGTTTGAAGTTTTTCCACATTGTATTCGTCGTATGAAAATGAATAATCCGAACTGATACGAGTACAATAGGTTTCATCACATGGACAGGTGGTGATATTGCAGTGAGAACTTGTAATTTTATGCATAGCATGACGATAGAAACACACACACACAATCAATTTGATCTAATTTGCCGAAATTTTTTGATTTTTTTTTTTGCTTACAAAAAATTTTGTTAATAAATAAAAAAAAGTAAATTGATTTTGAAGCTTCGAAGTGAATGTGAAAGCAATTTGGCATATTAAAAAATACAAGTTTGTTAATCTGGATATGTATTATGTCAAAAATGGGATTTTTTTAAACACAAATTTTGTTATATTTTTGTTAATATGATATATATTTTATTTTCAATAGACCTCAGGATGGTAAAATAATTTCTACAGAAAAAATCTTTCCCCTGAGAAATCTTTCAGATTTTTTTTTTTTTGTTAATGGAAAAATTATTCCGCAGTCCTGAGGAATTTTTTTCTAATGAAATTAATTTCTATAGTCTGGGTTTATACATGCATCTTTTCTAAAAAACTGTGGTGAGTTCATAGAATTGAGAGGTATAAAAAGTGGCAAGGGGTAGAAATTCAAAAGTGAATCGAAAAGAGCAGTGGCAGAGTTGCTTAAAAATTTGCATGTATAAACTCAGACATAGTAAACTGATGAATTACACATCAAACGATGTGTAAATTAAAAAAAAAACATTACAGCATATTTTTAGGCTGTATAACGAACAAACGTTCATCTAAATGACTTGCAAAATAAAAAAAATAGGAAAACAAAATCATTCAAATCGTTTTGCCATTAGAAGATTGATTTTGAAATAAACTACACATCAATTTATTATTATTCTTAAATTAATTATTCTTAATTTATGTAAATTCGAATTATTCTTAAATTATGTAAACATAATAGCCATTGCTGATAGGGTTTGTAATATGGAAAGAACATATTTTGTAAATCACATTGGAATGTGAGTCATTGTTTAAAAATTTAGTTTTCAGCTGATAAGAATTAATATTTCCCCCAGTAAAGGAAACAAACAAAACATTTTGTTTATATACAGGCATGTGCTAATAATATAAATATTAACCTATTTGAAGGCATAATTGATGTGATGTGTACGGAATATTGGAGATATAAGAATAGACTTTGTTGTTGCAAAGTGACCTTTGCGCCAGTTGTTGCTAATAATAATAATAATTTATTATTATGGAATAATAGAGACAACATTAAAAAATTTTAAACGATAATGGCTGCATTTGATTTTTTGTTTTTTTTTTTTTTGCATTTTAAGCGACTTATGAAAATTGAGTTCATAGCATTGCTAGGGATTCTTTTAAGTTCTCACTTTCTGTTTTTTTTCCTTTTAATATAAATGTTAAACAAACAAAAAACCCAAAGGTTATTAACCACTTATCTGACTTACCCATAAATGTATTACATGCCACCTCATAGTGATCCCGAACAGCTCCCCCACCACCCAACAACGGTTGCGATTCACGATTATCACTACCGCCACTGTGGTCCATTATGCTTATTCCGCATTCAAAATCAACATCGGGTACTAGGCAAATTTCATCGGTGTCATCGTGTGAATTTATAGAATCCTGACGTAGATGCGGTGGCAAAACATTACTGCTAAACAAACGAACGGGTGCTGCAGTGGATGTTGTTGGCTGTTGTATTGCGTATTTAGATCTTGAAGCGGGCGAATGTGTCTTCGAACTGTAACCATAGCCGGAACGCGATGGACTGTCACTATACGGTTGTTGATTGCTTGGCTTTTGACTGCTCTCGTTAATGTCATCGCGTTGGCTACTTACACCGCCATTGCTCACCGAGGGAGAGGTTGTCGACGAGATGGTTATAATGCTTGTGTCGAGAGTATTTAACTGATGCGTAGCCGACATTGCATTTGTGGGAGCAAATAGTTGTTGTTGCTGCTGTTTGCCATTTGTTGCGGCTGTTAGTGTGGTTGAATTTGCATGACCATTCAACATTAGAGTGGAGGAATGTGGTTCGTTTGTTAAATCGCGGGTGTTGAAGAAATCATGTTCATCGAAAGCTAATACCGTTTGTTGTATGGCTGCATCTATGCTATGGGATGTATGATGTGTTGAGGTAAGGTTAGACGCCATGGATGACTTGCCGCCAACAACATCATCATCATCGTCGTTGCTATACTCTGGGTCGTCGTCATCATCATTGCCGTCATCACTATCGGGAGTAATAGCTCCCTGTACCGTTGTTCCCATACCACTGTCATTGACGCCAACTGTGTCATCTTCATCGTCGTCGTCTTTCAGTGATAAGAGCATAGGTTCGTGTTGCTGTTGTTTTGGTTTTTGTGTTTTACTGCTGTTGCTATTCTTTGGTTTTCTACGTTTCTTTTTGTTGAGACCAATTGTATTTATCTGTGGGGCCGACCATAGGTTATGAGGGGGTGAAACAAGACAAAAACAAACAACAATTAGCAAATAATTATGTTATCTCCTAATGTGGATGGATGTCACCTTAAATTATCTTAACTGTGGCTGCTAAGACTTACCTCAACTTCGGTGGTTAATAATTGCTGTTGTTGTTGGTGCAGCTGCTGCTGTTTATTATGGCTATTCATTTTATTTTCTTCATCTTCATCACTGTAGTGGTTCATCAAATCAACATCTTCCAATTGTACTAACGGAGTTGTCATTTTTTTACTTTTTCCTGTGTCCGTCCTTACACGACAGTCGTTTGTTCTACACTAGACGTTTACTCCCTTAAATAAAGGCAATGCCCTCTTTTTCTTTCCTTATGGTTGGAAGTATATAATAAAAAAAATTAAAAAACAAATCTATTCTTGTTTTCCTTCTTCTATATTTTGCTCTTTTGTTTAGTTGCTGTCCCTCACTTGTTTTGTTGTTGTTTTTTTTTTAATAATATTAATATATGTATTTTTGTTTTAATCTCTATGCTTTTCACAAAAATTATTGATTTTTTTCTTTGTTTGCGTTGTTTGTTGTTGTAGCTGCAAATTCATAGGTCTTCTCTATGTCGCATTTATTCTTACGTTTATGACTTTGTTTTCGAATATTTCGTTACTTATTCTAATCATGTATACTTAATTAAATTGTATTTAGTAGTTGGGTTTTTTTTTCTTTACACAAAAAGGAAAATAGTCTTCTAACTTTTAATCGAATGCACAAAAAATCAGTTGTCAACTGTCACTTTTTGCGAAAATAATATTCCACCCCTCTCGGAGATGACATATGATGCACGACTAATCGATTATATGAATGATTTATTTATCGAAAATATGTAATGTTTGAACACGTACTCACTGAACATACCCAACAGGGAAATCAAATGCGAGAAGTAAAACGGCATTTTAATTAGAGCTTTTTACGGGTTTAATCCACAACATGAGGATTTCTTTGACATATATACAATGTAATTGACAATTTGAACCCACTGCGTTAACGAAACCTGAAACTACCTTAGATAATGACACAGCAATAGCTTATTATAGAAAATTGAAGCCACATTTTTATTATTTGTATACCCTCCATCATTAGGTGGAGTGTATATTAAATTTTGTCAGCAAACCCCAGCTGATTTGATTCCAACGTAATATTAGTGCCAATATGAATGTGACAAATTATGTTTTTAAAGATCACCCAACAGGAAAATTGGGAACGCATACACTTCGAAATTTTTCGTTATTAATGCGGTGTACACACTATCATTTTTGAATGGCACTCTTGCCCAAATTTTGCTTGTTTGATAATGTGGCCTCACATGTTTGTCATTCATCAGGCAACCACAAAAATATTTATGGTTGTTGGACAGTCAGTAATCGATAAAAAAGTTGACAGTCAAAAATGATAGTGTGTACACCGCTTAAATGTGCTACCGTATTCAATATACTCAATGCGCCCGCTGGGAAAATTTGAGGAAGCAAATCTTTCTTCATGGAATAACTCGCAATTCCCAGCATTTGCATGTGTGTTACACGTATAAGTGGTAATGGCACAATTATAGGAAAGATGTTCCCACCTTTACATTTAAACCTTTGAGCCCCGAATTATTTTCCGTAATCATAGAACAATTTTCTGTTCACAGATTTAATGCAACTATCCTAGATAGGATATGGACAAAATTTGACATCGCTACATCCTTGCATTCGGGAGATACAGTACATTCTTTTTGAAAAATAAAAACCCAATATCAGGAAAACCAATTGCAAGATCGTAGAAAAATTCTCTATATTTTATTTTACAAGAATCAGAGGAAAACGGCGTCCAAATTCAAGTTTGACTCTGATATTCCTTTATATTTCAACTTCACATGCCTCGTATGTGTTTCCCATTTATTATATGTTTCCCCCTTAACAACTCAACATCAATTAAATCAATCTACATCAATAGAAATTGATCTTTATAGTACGTTTACATTTAACCGGATTTCGTTAACCCAGTGGGTTTCAATTGTCAATTCCTTAGAATATATGTCAAATAAATTCTCATAATAGTATGTTTACATTTAAGCGTGGGTTTCAATTATCAATTCCTTTGCATATATGTCACATAAATCCTCATAAAGTAGGTTAACCCGGTGAAAAAGTTTTAAACTCCTTGTACATTAGAACTTTTTACCGGGTTAACCTACTTTATGAGGATTTATGTGACATATATGCAAAGGAAATGACAATTGAAACCCACTGGGTTAACGAAATCCGGTTAAATGTAAACGTACTGTTAGTGTACATGTCGTTTAAAGTAGGTTAACCCGGTAAAAAGTTATATGGTCTGTTCCCGTACTGCAAGAATCTACTAGTTTTTACTATTTGTGTCGATATCATAAAGGACATTTCGTTATCGTTCCCGTACTGCAAGAATCTAATAGTTTTTACTATTTGTGTCGATATCATAAAGGACATTTCGTTATCGTAGTAAAAAGTAGTAGTTTCTTGCAGTACCGGAACAGACCAATAATGTATATTCTGGGTAAGTTTGTGTAATTGTTAAATATTGAATAATTAGTTCTGTGGGAGTTGTATTTGCAGCAATTGAAAATGACGTGGTTTTCGGTTTCGTGTGTGTTGCAGGAGTCGCAAAGGTTGTTGTTTGCAATGTTGATTCGGTGTAGGTAAGTTTTTCCATACGTATGCCCAGCAAACAGTCTGTTAATTAATTTGATGTTTCCAGGTGATATTGATGAGCCGGCGAACCAGTGCTGTTTTGGGGGTTCGGGAAAGAATTGTGAAAAGTAAGTACCTTTGGAAATAGAAGTCTCCTTGAAGATTGTGACCCATTCATCCCACAGGGTATTGTATATTAAAGTGTGTGCATCTTTTACCGCATGATATGAATGAATAATGCATCCAACATCTGCGGCAAGTTTGGCGAAGTGGTCGGCTTTTTCATTGGCCTGTATTCCAATGTGCGAAGGAGTCCAAATAAACGTGAGTAGAGTGATTGGTGACATATTTATCTTTTCGATAATAATATTGGCCAGGTAGTTCTGTGAGGTGTTGTTCCTTAAGAGTGAAAGAGCATTTTTACTGTCGGTTAAAATTACGGCCTTTTCAATGCCATCCTCTAAAATAATGTCAACAGCCTTGTTAATGGCGTTCAGTTCACCCATTAGTGAAGACAGTTTTGCCTCAATTTTAAATAGAAAATTGTGATTGCAAGATATGTTACACACTGCACATCCGGTACTGTGTGCAGATATGGATGCATCTGTTGCCCATACCGAGCAGCCAAAAAATTTGATGTCACTTAGGGTTTCTTGAAGTATGGATCGGAAAAACTCTTTGGGTTTATTGCCTTTGTTTGCCTTGAAAATGTCCATGAGGAATGAAATTTTGTTTGAGGGTGTAACAGCGTCTTTCACCACCACACTATCAAAGATGTGTTTAAATTTAATGTATGTTTGACCGAGACTGGTTTTTGCCAAGGGGTTTGAAGTAATTCGTCTGTATGTATCATGATGAAAGATTTTGAACTTTATAAGCTCTTTCGACGCCAAGTATTGGGCTCGTAGACCAGGAGGTAAACATAAGGATAGAGCATAAATGATGTGAGTTGGAGTTGAAGGGGTTAACCCAAGGCTTCTTCGTAACGTCTGGTTTTGAAAAGTGGTTACCTTACGATTTATATAGGTTGGCATGTGGGCCATTGACGATATCGAGTACTCTATTTTAGAAAAAATTATAGTTTTGGATAACATGATTGCAGTTTTGGGGTTAATACCCTGCTTGAATGAATTTATCATTTTTAGTGCGTTTGACGACGTCGAACATGTGGACATGACGTCATCGTAGTGCTCTTTTAAAGTCAAGCTGTTTTTAATATTTCTTCCCAAAAACTTAATAGTATTGACTGTTCTTATTGTTGTGCCCTGAATATGTATTTTAGGGATTTTTCTTGCTCCTTTTGCAACGTACATGCCAGTAGTTTTTTCATTATTCTGTTTCAGATTCAATTCAGTTAGAATTCGAAGGAAGTTGTTAAATTTAATTTGCAGATTGTTGTTGGCAGTGTTAAAATCCTTGTTTGCAGAAAGCAATATAAAATCATCAGCGAACTGGAAGCAGTAAGTGGATTGATCATTTATACAATGAAGACCCATGGTGTAAATGTTGAATAAAATGGGACTGAGGCAGCTTCCTTGTGGAAGTCCATTATAAATTTCCAATTCGTTGTTACCCATAATCAGAACACGACGTTGGAGAAAATTTATTATCCAGTGAGTTAAATCAAGTGGACAGTTTAGATCTTGGAGAATTTTGTATAACATATCGAGCTTGACACAGTCATAAGCTTTGGCCACATCTACTGATAAAAGAATCACCTTATCTCCCTTTTCTTTATGCGAATTCACAAAGTGAAGAATATCATTAATACACATGGATGCCGATTGGTGCTTTCTGTACGCATATGTTCTGGATGGAAGAATATTATATTTCTCAAGGAAAGCTAAGAGGCGATCTTTGACCATTAAATTGATGATTTTAAGAAATACAGATATGAGGGCTATTGGTCTGTAATTAGTAAATATTTCTAAGTCTTTACCTCTTTTTGGGATCGGTATAACCTTAATTTTTCGCCATTCATCCTTTATATTGCACTTCATCCATTCACTATTAATGGCAGAGAGTAAATTTATTTTAGACGCATCTGAAAGTTGACTCAGCATTTCATAGGTAACCCCATCTATACCAGCGGCGGATGGTTTTTTCTTGTTTTTTAGAACATGCTCAAATTCTTCCTTAGTGAATTTTTCACTTGAGAAATGTGGAGTTTGTACCATATTGACCGGTGTGTTGTCAGGAACCTGATTTTTTAAGTGAATTAAAAAAGGTTTGTCATTATCAGAAGACCATTTTGACGGCATCGTAGAATTTAAAGAATTTTTACACCCACGAACGAATTTAAACAGGGCTTTAGAACTTGGAGCATTGCTTAGTTGTTGGATATTTCTTTTGAATGCATGTTGCTTGGCATATTTAACCGATTTTTTAAAATTTTTCTTTGCAATTATTAAATTTTCTGCAGTTACATTATTGTTGTTGATATCGAATTTCTTTTGTGCCGCTACGTAGAGTCTGTAATTCTTTTCCACGATCGAATCCCACCAATATTTTGGAATAGCATTTTCAGTGACTGTGTACGTTGATGCTTTAAATTCATTTTTAAAAGTATCATGTATGTCGTCGAAAGACGTAGGCAGATTAATGCTGTTTAGATTACTGAAGAGTTTTTTTTTAGCTAAAAATGTTTGAGGTTTTGGGATTATAGTTGATATGTTCATTACAATTGGAAAGTGGTGACTTCCTCCAATTGTTGATGGATAAACGTCCCACGAAGTTGTGATATGTGAATTCGTAAAGGATAGATCTAGTACGGATCCCGTAGATTCGTGAAGCTGTTTTTTAAATGTGCAACTACCATTATTAAGGCAGCGAAAAGATGATGAATCAAAGGTTGTCTTTACGATTTTACCCCTTTGAGAATCAAAGTTATCCCCGTATGAAGTGTGGCGGGCGTTGAAGTCTCCACATATGAAAACATTTGGCTTGGTTTCCAGGAATGATATCAATTTATCGAGCTCATTTCTAATGGTATTGCACTTGAGAGAATGTGGAAAGTAGATTGAAACAATCGTTATATTCGAGGAGAGGCTCAGAGTTTCACAAATCAATATATCCAAAGATGTCGGAAAGCTAACTTTCCTGAATTTTATTCTATTATGGAAGACTAAGGCAACACCACCGTAGTTGTCTTGTCGTTTTTTTGAGATAATGGTGTAATTAAATATTGATGTGGCATTTTTATTTTCATCAATGTTAAATATTTCAGACAGGATGCAAATATCGACATTTAATTTTTTTAAATAGAATTCCAGATAACTTTTGTTTTTTTTTAGACTTTGTATATTGTATTGTAATAAGTTCATGTTGTTTTGTTATTGCTTTAAATTTTTAGGTTGCGTGTATATTTGGGTCTATGCTGTTAGTCTCCAGACATGGGCTGTCTGTTACTGATGGCAGTAACGATTGCTGAAATTTTTTTAGGATATTTAGACCTTCGGCGCTGTTAAGTGAGGTTAGTACTTTCGACATTTCATTAGCAAAATTTGAAAACATTTTTTCTATTTCAGATACTTTGGAGAAGTTTGCTTGTTCGAAGATGGGTTTAGACGGAGCTAATTGGAGAGGGCTGGCAACGGCATGATGTGCGTAAATTCGAGGAGTCACAATTTTACTATATTTTGTTTTTGTAACTCTCCTATTTATTTCATCATGAACTGTTCTTTTTGGTGCTTTGTTTTTATTGATTAAAGGAAATTCATTGTTGTATTGATCTTCAGAGAGAATTTGGTAGTAATTCTGTGTTTCTGGATATTTACTAATGACTTCTCTTCTTGAGAGGTTGGTGAGAGCCATTATGCTATTTATGTTTTCTTCAGTTTTCCATTTTGGGCAAAGTTTCTGGTCAGTTGCACAGTGATCAGTACCATTACAAAGAATACATCGCGGTGGACCGCATTCACCTTTGCATGTTGTTGTTGAACGACAGTCGTGACATTTTGGTGTTTTGCATTGAGTGGGACATATTATTAGTTTTCCGCACGTTAAGCACCTTTTTGTTGACCTGCAACGGTCACCTATGTGACCTAGGCGCACGCAGTTTAAACACAGACGAGAACGACGTACATACAGCTCTGGGGAGATTTTAGTACCACACATAAGTATTTCAGTGGGTACACCATCGTATATAATGCCGATTTTGATTGTTTCGGTATATTCAGTTTTGTTTTCTTCATTTCTCCTTGTAAAGCGATAGACAGACACTACATCCATGTCATTGTTTGCTTCAATTTGCTGCTTAATTGTGATCGCAGAAATACTTTTGGGTACATTCCTAATAATGTAAAATCGTTGCACAAATCTTTCTGGAATGAAAGCTTTGAGGCCAATTTTTTTTAAGTCTGGGTTTGCCGTAAAATTGTTTGCTGCATTTGCATTATTAAAAGTTAGCCTGAAGGTATTGTAACCAATATTTTTACAGGCATAATCAGTGATGTTAATTTCTTGAAATCTGGCATAAAGTTGTAATTCACTATTTTTCCTTCTTGTATTGATTGGTATTTCTGATGACACTAATACAAAGAAAGGGCCAGGATGGTATTGAGGGTATGAAATGGTTCCTTCATTTAAAGAATTATAAATATGTTCATTTTCTAATTGAGTGATTGATGGCGGTTCTGAGTTTGTGTTGGTAATTTGATTTCTAACCGGAGTTCCATTACAGTTTTTGAAAGTTTTTGTATCATTTACAATACTGCGAGCTCTTCTTTTATTTTGCTCCCCCAATGGAGGAGGTGGAGCAGGCGGTGGAGGAGTTTCACCAACTCCCCCCATCTTTATGCTTTTAATATTGTTTAATTAATTTTGTTAAAAAAATAACAAAAGAGAAAAAAAAAACAATTTTGTTTGTGTGTTGTTTTGATATATATGTTTGTTGTTGCTGTTTCCGTATACGCAGAGAGGTAATAAGCGACCAGCGCGAGTAGTCTAATGTCAACAGAGTCATTCGTAAACAAACCAACTCCTTCCATCCCACCTCATTCGTAACTTTCCGTCTTCTTTTTTGACTTCTTCTTTACCGGGCATTTTGTCTTTTCCCATCCCATTCGTAAAGGTGGAACGTTTTTCAATATTTCTTTTCTGCAGTGACTGTTTTGTTGTTTTGTTAACAAAATAACAAAATTAACAAATTTAACAAAATTTTTTTATTAGATTCGTAATCTTCCTGGGAAGCAGCTCCTCAGTACAAAAGATCCATTGGCGCGCCAAACACAATGAATGATCCAAACAAAGTGATAAATGTTAATCTATCGTCGCTGCTAAGTCTTAAGGCGGAATTATTACGGAAGCAAGCGGAAGTTACGAAGGCCAAGAATCAAAACATTGCCACCACTGGAAACACATCGTCAGCTAGTGGCCAGGAATATGTGTCCATTAAGAACCAACGACCGTTACCAGATAACATTGAGGACGACATAACCACATCTCAACGGAAAAAGGATAAAAAGAAACGTGCCAAGGAATTGGAAAAGTCCGAGGATAAGGCTGTCTATGAACATGAAGATTCTGTGCTTTTGGAAAAGTCACAAAAGATCTTAGAAGCTAAGGCAAAGTTTTATGAGCGTATGACCAAGTCTGGAGGTAAATTAAATTCCGATGATAATTGTCTGGTTATGTTCAACAAGAAGAAACAAGAGGAGGATATAGGTGCCTCAGGATGTAGTAGAAATCGAAAAGAATATTCTGAATCGGAGGATAGTGATGATAGCAGTGGAGATGATGATTACAGTGATCACCACGATGATCCGGAAGATGATTGGGTAGAGTACACCGATTGTTTGGGTCGAACTCGCAAGTGCTTGAAACGTGACCTGGAAGATGCAAAGAGAAGAGATAAGGAACTTGCTGCAAGTATGCCTGAACGTTTAGATCAAACCAAGGCCAACTGGCTAATCGATACCATGGGATCCAAGAAATCCACTAGCCTTACTGGCGAGAATAAAGATGATGAGGGGGATGATGAAATTATTGGTCCAATGCCACCTGCCTCGGTGTTTGGCGATGGCTTATCAATGATGTCCAAACATGAGGAACAAAAAGCCAACTGGGAACGCAAGGAACAAGAGAATCTAGATAAAACCGATGTCCATTATCAGGATGTATTCTTTGATGAGGCCCGTCAGCATGGAGTGGGTTATTATGCTTTCTCCACGGATGAGGCGGAACGTAAAAAACAACAAAAGGAACTGTTAAAGGCTCGAGAGAAAACCTTGGAGGAACAGGAGCGGAGGGAAGCATTGCGTGCCCAAAGGGAAAAGATAATTGCTGAACGGGTATTGGCTGCAAAGAATAGACAAAGAGCAAGATTGGGTTTGCCACCCTTGGAGAAGGAAGACTTCGAAAAAGAAAAGTCCAAAGAAGAAACGCCCGAAGAGACCAAAGAAGAGCGTAAGGCACGTAAGAAAGCAGAGAAATTGGAGAGGAAGCGTCAAAAGGAAGAAGAGGAAAGGCAAAGAGAACGCCAGCAACACATACGTCCATGGGATCAAGAAAAAGATGGGGTAAAGGTGAATAAACCAAAACCAGAAAATGAAGATGATGGCGAGTGGCAATATAAACCTGAATGGGAACCCATGACTCAAGAACAATGGAATGAATATAAACGCAAAGAACGACCAGCTGAGTTTGCCCCACCACCAACGACCGAAAAACCAATGAAACGTACAAATTTCCGTAGTACCACACATGCTAATTACAATAATGTACCACCTCCCACCTCCATTGGAATATATGAAGATACTGCAGCTGCTGAAGAACTACCTCAACCCTCAAAATTCAATACCTTTCAAAGTTCAAAGAAAAAAGAAAGGGTGTTCAAGCGGCGTAATTATGAAGAGCCACAACAATGTCAAACTGCTGCTGCTGACGATGATGATTCTTATGCCAGACAAAATGGTGTTTGCATACCACCACCATCAAATTTGGAAGATTTCTTTTTACCCTCCCAGGCAAAAAGACAAAAATCCGCCAAAGAAGTTGAAAAATCCATTGAGGCTGGTTTAAGATTTATACGCGAAAGTTGTGATAAACAAATGCCTGCCACCAAATCCTCATGGACAGCAAAGGCTGACTACTAAAATAAAAAAAAAACATTGTGTTCGTATTTAGTTTAGTTCTGCATTGTATTTAGTTTTTTTTATTTCCCATTTTGCATTACCTATATAAACAAATTACTTATTGTCTGTATAAAGATAGTTTATATAGTTATCAGTAGTTTTTATGTTAGCTATAGTTCATATATAGCGTATATATATTAAGTGTTAGATTGTTTAATTTGTTTTCTTAAACAAGGTTTCGTGTCTTTGGAAAGTTTTCTTTTTGGCACACAATCTATTATTTTTGTTTTGTTATTTTACTCTATATATAGCATCATTATAGTTATGATTGGAGACGTCGATGAAAAATATTTTTTTATATAAAATTAAAAAAAAGGATTAATTTAATCGACATACTATGGATACCTTAAAAAAAGTAACATGAAAAAAAAGAATAAAAACATATTAATATTAAATCGATGGAAAAATATGGGAATGAATTAAAAATACAATTTTAAAACGTAAAATGAAATAAAAAGAAAAAAATCTGAAATCTGATCTGCTTGCAATATCGCCGTTTAATATAAAATTAAATGGAAACATCGAGCATATAATTTGGAAAAGTAAAATGAAATAAAAAGAAAAAATGGTGTAGAATCGAACTTCTGCAAATTTACATCACAATGGAGACATGTGAAGCTTCACATTAAATTGTTTACAGATTTCGTAAGTTTTTAAGATAACTTACAACGTTATTTATAAATATTTCAAGTTCAGATCAGAATGAATTGTAAAAGGAAATACTATGAAGATAGCAAGTGCACGATGTTTTTTTTTTTTATTTAATATGGGAAGTAATACGACAAAACATAGGACATGCCTTGAGCATTTTTTACAGCATAAAATACATTTCCGAAAGGTCGAAAGCGTGCTGTGTGAACGACTGAAGCCAATGGCCAAAAACATTATTGACCCATACCGGCTTCAGATCTAGTAAATCCACCATTGAACAGATTTTCACTCTGCGCCAAATCTTGGAAAAGACCCAGGAAAAACACATTGACATTCCATCTATTCGTCGACTGTAAAGCCGCATTCGACAGATCTGAAGCATGGATTCTTACGCAAGCAAATGAGGCAGCTTTTGGTGTGTTTGAGAGAAAAATTCTTCAAAAGATCTATGGGCCGATCTGCGTTGACGGTGAATATCGCCGTCAAATAAACAATGAGCTGAGGCTGCCCCAGCACAAAAATAATATAAAAGCGAGCCTACCGATGGCTCACGCAGAAGGGGAAAGCCACGAATTAGATGTAAAGATCAAGTAGAAGACAACATTGCCAAACATTGGCTTTGAAATTGAAAGAGTTTCCGACGCGCCTGGAAATCTTTTTTAAGCTTGACCTATGGAACAAATGTTCTGTTACAAGCCAGCTAAGTAAGTTTCTCTATAGTTGTTGAAAATATTTTTAAATAAAATATTATAGATAGAGGAATAGAGGATTTTTCGTTGAAAAAATTACGTATTTAGTTTTTAAAAAATATATTTCAAGATTCAAATCCTTGTATTGTTATTGAAAATATATGTTTAAAAAAACACGAGTTCTACACTTGCTGTAAACAAAACCCTTGTATTTTATATAGTAAAACCTATGATTTATATAATATCAATAACTCTTCAGTTGTCTGCAAAATATTTAAATCAAATCGAATTTACATTTAATTAAAAAAAAAAATAATAAAAATGTTTGAGAAGATCTACAGTTTCTGTTTAGGTTTGTATTTTGCGATGATTTTGAGAAATATGTACGTGTGTGTGTAGATTTTAACAGTTTTTCTACTTATAAATCCATAATATCGTTTCTATATATTAATATGGATCCATTATATATTTTTTTCGAAGAAATCGTTGGTAATGGTGTTTATTTTTTTTTTTGAAGATAATTAATTATAGGATTTTTCGTATTCGGGGAAAGGAAACGTTAATCTAGTAACTTTGTTTTTGTTTTAATAAAATTAACTTATTAAAATAAATATGCATACATAAGTACTTATACAAATCTAGATTTATTTTGCCTTACTAATTTAATAATACTGCTGTAGTTACTTTGTTGACTAAACATTTAAATCGTACCGCGTTCTTTTTTCAAAATAATATAAATATATTTTGCGTGTTGCCATCTCTATCTCTATATTGAAATCTTATAAATAATTTGTTTAGTTTGTTTGTTTTTTATAGCATGCCATTATCAACCATATCAATTAATATTTCTGACATTTTTTGGCGACACAAATCGTTGGGTGGAAAATTAAGTTCGGGTGCCCCGTATTGACACTCCATGGTATCGCTGTTCGAACGATTTATATACATATCGGGAGCATCCTCAGAGGAACATGTACTAATTGGTATTATATCCAGAGATAGGCCCAATGCAAAACGGCCATAAGTTTTTAATTCTAAACGGAATCTATAAGAGAACAAAAAAAAAAAAATTAAAATAATTATTAATTTAATATTTTCAAAATTTCAAATTCCGAATACTAACAATTTGTTTAATTTCTCCAAGTTATTACAGAATTCTGGTATTTTCGTACACAGCAATTGCAACCACTTGAATAATTCACTAGTATACAAATTGAGGAACTCTTCCAAATGTACATCTCTCATCGATTTACTGGTACAACAGAATATTAAATTGGCCACATCCAAGGCTATTGAACTATAGCGTATTAATTGGAAATCTACCAAACAGACCTGCGATATAGTTGTTCATTGTAGAATTGCTGATGAAGGATAATTAATTCCAGTAATTTTTTGCTTACCTCCAAAACCTTTTTCTCACCACTTGCCGCAACTTCATAGCGATACAAAAAATTATTGGCCCAACAATCGCCATGACAAAAAGCCGATAGTGCCGATTCTTCACTAACCATGCTGACCATACGTTGGAAAAATGTTGTCGCCTCGGCAAACTCCTTAAAGGCTTGTAAATATTTTGAGTTTTCCGGCAAGACATCGGAGACCTTAAACCACATTAAACGTAATATTTTTATATTAGATTCTTGATGTTCTCTATCTCTCCACTTACCATTTTAATGGCATTACTCGTCAATGTCTCATAATATTTTTTATACCAATTAACGTTGTCGCTGGAGAACAAGCCCTCCTCCGTTAGCTTGCGTAAATTTTCAAACTGTTTGGGATTTTCAAATTTATAGGCCAAACTCAAAGCATGTAATTGGGCAACTTGTTTCATTACCATATGGGTCTCATCTATAGTTAGACCTTGCTTTCGATCGGGCATTTGAAAACCACGTACCCTCAAATCCTCTGAAAAAAAAACAATTGGAAATTAATTTGGTTTTTGTATAGAAACCTCCTCTTACCCATAATTAGCAAATCTGAACGGGCATAATAACATTTCGGCATGGCCTTAAATTGTTCCGTTGTTTTGGTACTTTGAAATTTTAAAAGTTCCGGCATAATGGAGGTGTAAAATTCAATTTCATTCCTTAAACAAAAAATAAACAAATTTAAATGTTAGCAAGTAGAGGGTTTTTAGTTTGGCTAGGAATACTCTAAAAAATCCAGCCAATTATAGTCCTCGTTCCCAAAAATCCAAGCCTCTTTGAGTCCTCGGGAAAATGTTCTTATCCTTACCTAAACAACTTATCACTTTTGTAGGCCTCTCGAAGTTTGGCATTTTCCGGCAAACGTTTACATATGACATTATTTTCCCATTTCAGCTTTTTGCCATCGTCCGAACATTTGCGATGTCCCGACAAATGGATGCGATAAAGGGTAGCTGTATAATTATCACCACGACCAGATCCTTGTTCTTCCTAAAAAACACAAAAGGATTTTTGACATCATCTTAAAGATGTGAGTATGTATGTGTGTGTACACTTACCTCAAATGTATCGATTTGCACTTCCGGTTCAATACACTTAAATATATCGGCAAATAATTCCAAGGTTAATTTGGAACCGTTGGGTAGCAAAACATCATCCGTTGCAGACATTTGTGAAGTTTCATTAATGCCCATAATTATATTCCAAAAACACAGAAAAACACCACCAAAAAAGGATGACTTAATAGATAGATTTGATTTGCCAAAAAGGATACTATGCACAATCAGCGGAATCACACTCACACGCCCACACAAACTGTGAAAATTATTATGTAGTCAATTGCCGAGTATATTCAAACGATTTCAATACAAATTTATATTTCAATTTTAATGTTCTCTTATATGTGTTTTGATTTTTGTATTTATTAAAAAAATATGTTTATAATTTTCAGTTTTTTCTTCTTTTATAAAAACTTTTTTATAACAATCACTGCCTAATGAATTACTATAGCAAATGCTTGTATCACCCTCCCTGCTTCACTGAACTGCTTTCAGATTTTGTGATGCTGTCATCTGTCATTTTCGACTACAGATGTTCTCTTATTTTTTTTTTTTTGAAAATGTTTTGAATCTCGTTTGCTGTCATTGGAAGTTGAGAGAACTTTCCGGTTGTCAAAAGTTTTTTTTTTGTTTGTTTTGTTTATTGTCCTGTTACCGGCTTTTTAGCATGGTCTGTGTGGGGGTTGTTAAGGATATCATACATAACTTTTTCTGCTCTCCGAGAACATTTGAATGATTTGAGTTGCCAACTATCATATGGTATAAACATAGATGGCAACGTAATGTAAATTGTTAACGGTATCTAGTATAACAGTTAAAAGTAGAAACAGTAGTATAACTTTTATTGAAAGGGGTTAGAGGTACCTTCAAACACTCAACACCAATAAAATACAAATTTTCATAGTCCTTACCAAATTTTCTCGAAAATTTTGCCTAAAATACCAAAACCTTCTCAAAACAATATTCTTAAAAAATCATCGCCTCTTATAGCCCTTGGGAAAATATTGGCAAACATTTGTCTTTGGCAAACATTTGTCGTCATTGCCATCTATTAAATGGGTAGATCCAAAAATCGATTATGCAAAAGTTAAACCTCATTTGTTTTTTTCCTATAACTATAAATTATTTAAGTTTATTTAATTATTTTATTTTTTTTAATATGAAATGTGGGCTTGATTTTTCTTTAATTTCCCCCGGTAATATACTTACCCTTCCTTATTTTACAAACATATTTAAAAACATTTATTTTCATATAGTTATGATATATATTTGATTTCGTTTATTTAATTACGTTTTTGTTGTTGCTTTATTATTATTTGTTAATAATGTTTCTGAAAACGACAAAAACAATGTTTATGTTAACTTTCGAATAGTATGAAGACCCCATAACCCGCCCAGTTAAGATACACTACAAGATCCAACAAAAAAATAATATATGATTATTTCTTTTCGACAACTATTTAACATTTAAAATGTTTAGTTAATGGTAGGTTGGTTGGTTTGTTTTGGTTTTCTTTCGACTAATATATATGTTTGTGGGTACAGTTTGTCGAAAAAGTGTTTTGAAAAAGAAGACATTTAAAATCATATAAGGGGACCCCCCCATTCTCGGGGTCAAAATTTTTGTTGATATAATTCGAATTTACACTGATTAAAGAATGTCTCTACAAAATTTCAAGTGAAAATCTCAAGAACTCTTGAAGATATAGCCGATTTATTGTGTCAGCATCAAGTGACGGCTGAAGGGCTTCTCAAACTTTAAACGCGTTTTTCTCTAAACATGTTTTTGCGAATGGCGGGCACGATAACTCAAAAACTAATAACCTAATCGATTTCAAATTTTTACACGTTTCTCTGTGAGTGTATAGGTATCGTATGAACTAGGATAAAGCCAATCGGTGAAGATCTTCCTTATTTTTTAACTTGGTTTTTGGTAAAAAATCGGCGATTTTTCAAAAATATTTTTTCAAAGGTCCACCATTTTGTTAATTTTAGAGCGAAGTCAATAATCCTAGTTCATACGAGAGGCAGACATGTAACCGTTGGAATTTTCGGATTTCGATGTTCCAGTGAGGAGTTATCATGCCCGCCATCAAAAATAAGGACTTTTCTTTAATTACAAAAAACAACAACAAAACAATAACAAAAATTTTTTGTAAATTATTTTTCTTCTCTTTTAAATCTTCAAATATATATGTGCATCTTCAAATATATATTACAAACCTTAACAAGCATTGGTATTGATTTACCAGCCCATTGAAAATCTTGAAAAATTAAAATTGAGAATGGGTGGGGTTCCCTTAAAGGAAATATATATGACCTATATTGTCTTCAATTTTTATTGTCTTATAATTTTTATCAAACTACCCTTTCTCGACAAACTGCTTTTTGTATTTGTTTAACAGTATTTTTTTGTTCTCTTGAATTAATTAAATGTAAATATGTTCGTTAGGTAGTAGCTAAGTAATTGAATTGTTTTTATTTTATAAGAGAAGCTTTTAAAGCTATTTGATTAATTTTGTAAACTAAATCTCAAGACGTTTTTGTATACTTAGAACTAGAAAAAAATCCAAACAGTCATTGGAAAACAATTTGAGCTCAATATTTGATTTGTGGCTAGTTGGAGTTATAAATTGTAGGCAAATTAGAATGCAATTTATATAACGAGATTCAAAATAATGTAACAAAAAAAAAAAAAAAAAAAATATATATATATATATAACAAAAAATAATATTAAAATATTCTTAAAATAATAAAACATAACTCCAAGCACTTTTCAATTTTAATGCTAACAATTAATTTCAATTTTAATGTTAACAATTTCTTTTCTCTCTTTAAAAAGTTCATTTGCTGCTTTAGAAAAATACATTTGCATTTCATTTCTTTTGTGTGAGTTGTTGTGATACTGGAAATGTGTGCAGATTATCCAGTTTTGTAGGTGTAATGTTAACATTTTCGACTTCTTCGGAAGACATCCTATGACGGAAAATATAATTGTTGTTGTGTGTGATTGAGTGTCCCCTATTCTTTGTTGTTTAATTTGGCATGTGGGGATGATGATGATGACGTTGAGTTTGTGCCTGCAATTGTTGGTGGTGTTGTTGTTGCTGCTGCGACTGTCCTGCACTTAGATGTGGTTCATCGCTTATCAAATGTAAATCGTGTAAAGCTTGAGCAATTGGTAGTGGCCGTTGTGGCCAATGATTTGGCTGTAACAGAAGTTGAGCATTGGCCAAATGACGTTGCAGTGAACCGATTGTGGGATATATTGTCTGCTCAATAAATTCGGCAATGGTGTACTGAAAAGTAAGAAAAAGAAGAAGAAATAATTAAAAATAAAATGGGCATGTGTAAAATGTTTGATATTTTTAAAAAAATTTCAAGGACTAATGGGACTCTAAATTTTAACGGACTATAAGAGGCGTGTATTTTGTTTTCAAGGACTCTAAATTTTAATGGACTATTGATTTTTTAAAGGCATAAAAGAGGCGCAGATTTCTTTAAGAATGTGTTTTCAAGGTCTGAAAAAGAGACGGGTTTCTATAAAAACCGTATTCTTATAAGTGATTTGAGGTCTCAAGAAATTTCATTTTTTGTAGAGCACATTCATTAACACATTCTATAAAAATATATATCTCACATAACAACCAAAAACTTACCTTATCAAAAATTTCATACAATAACTCCTGGGCCTGACGTGACATACCCTGCAGTTCACTTATATAAATCGGCGTTTTTTGTGTCAACTCATGGACACGAATGGGTGAACTAAAATTATGCCGTACATTATAATCGGACATCCATGCACTATGCTCTTGGACTTGATTTAAATACATTTGGATTTCCGTTAACAGCTCATAGAGACGCAATGAATATTTGTAGAATTGATGACCCAAATAGACGCAAGTGGAGAATAATTGATTATGATGTGAATTCGGTTGTAAATCTAGCCATGGATGACCGGAACGACGTCTATCGAATTGATAGACACACTGAAGAACTTTCAGCATATCATTTTCTTTGGGATTTGTTTCAAAGTAACCCTTTGACACGGTGGACAAGGACACAATTAAACTGGGTATGCCTGTGGGTAAAAGTTCACACAGAACAGCAAAGTGGTCATAACGCTGCCAACCAGTAAGAGCCAGGCCTTGAAAACCCTTGGAGAAACGTCCACCCTCCTTGGCTATGACAGCCAACCAACGAATGTTGTTTTCCAAATGATTCTGTATAGGCGGTATCATAAGACTTTCACCGAAAGCCCCCTTAAATGCCGATGCCGCCCAGGCTGTGGGAAAGACACGGGTATAACGCTCCCACAACATGGGAGGTATAAAACGATAGATGTCATTAATGTAGACCCATATCATGGGTTCAACATATTGACCAATTTGTGAATGTTGCATTTCACTCAGAGTCATGCCACGCAACATATCATCCCAGATGACCACTTTCAAATGACTCCATTTGTTCCGGACAAAATGTGCCACATTTATAACATGATTTAGAAATAGTTCTCCTTTGGTCTTCTGACGGCACTGGACACATTCTCCCATGCGAGCAACTTCATCACAACCAATATGAACGTGGGTTACTTTTAGAGATTCCACTTGTAAATGGAATTCAACAACTTGGGTGAGCATTGCTTCAATGAAATACAGAGATGATTTCTGGCTAGGGCATATCGATTGTGGACTATCTGGCAGTTCACGCATTGAAGTGAATTCTTGTAATTTCAATGCATATTCCATGTGACCGAATGTCTGTACCAGGGGCATCACGGTGAAGCCGAAATGGGCACACGATTCCAAAAAGTCCTGAAAGAGAAACAAGGGGAGGGGGTTAGGAAGAGTAATTGAAAAGTATTTGGTGAACTTACCCGTAATTCTTCTCGATCATAGGCATTTTTAGCAGAGAGTGTGGAAATATTTCCCTCGAAGGGAAACATATCTTCATATTCGATTAGTAAACCAGTGGCGCCCAAGGTTTTCATTACCGGTAGTAATTGTTTCAGGAAAGAGATCTAAAAAAATTCAAATAGGAAAATTAAAAAAAAATTAAATTCGTGGACTGAATAAAGAAAAGTTTTTTTATGAAATTTAAAATTTGTTTAGAAAAAATTTTAGGACATTTGATAAAAATATTTCAAAGGAGTTTAAAAAAGTGTCCATTTTTACCTTTGGTGGCGCTCCCTTCAAATCCAAATGAACGAGACGTTCATGCGGCGGCTTTGCACCATCCGGTCCAATGCCCGCAACAACCGGTACACCCATACGCTGAAGTTCATGTTCATATTGTGTCTGACGTTCGGCTGAGGACAACATTTGGGCCTCATTTTCCATTTGATTTTGTATTTCATCCATGGCGGAGTTGCGAACCCGCTGTTGATTTTCCAAAATCTTGAGACGTTCCTCTTCGAAGAGATAACTTTCTCCAACTATGGGTCCTTTTTTACGACGTGCTACCAGTGATAGAGTTTGTGCGGAGGCCTCTTCAATAACAATTGATGTTGGATTTTTAGTGGGTTTTAAAAATCTTCCCAACCCTGAATTGGCAAGACTGTTCGGGTGAGTTTGCGAGCGTAAATCTTTTTTCGACTTTGTACTTAGTTTCGATGTGGATTCTTGCTGAAAGCGTAGAACACGATTTGCTTGTGAGATGAGTTTTTGCAGGACATAGATATGTTTGTAGGAATCTTTGGCTATGCCATCTGCCGAATCGGGTATGTTCTAGTGAGAGGGGAATGAGAGAGATAGAGAGAATATTAAAAAAAAAATGATTGAATATGTTTGATATTGGATTACTCACATTTACACCATATCCTTGTTGATAATTGGGATTTGTATCGAGATAGGCCCACGTCCACAGGCCAAATAGTAGAAATGAAGATAAAAGCAGCAAAAGCGATATTTTACGACGCCAAACTAAAATAAATATGTTTGTGTGCATCTGAAAAGATAAAGAAGAGGAGAAAATTAGAAACGAAGTACAGCAATCAATGGAAAGCAATTGAAAAAAATTGATGTAATATTATTAAAAAATTATCATTCTTAAAAAATATATTTTGTTTTCAAACTTCACTCCTTTAATATTTTTAAAGATTTACGCCTTTCATAGTCCTTAAAAAATATATTTTCAGTCCTTTTTATTTATATATTTTTTTTTAAATCCACGCCTCTTATGGGCCTTAAAAAAGTATTTAAAAAATCCACGCCTCTTATGGACCTTGAAAAAAATGATTTAAAAAATCCACACCTCCAAAATGAGTTTTTAATCTAGTCCCATCATCTTTATCCTTTTTTGTATTGTTTCTTTATTGCCATAAAAAGTTTCCATAAGAAATTTCCTTTAAATTGCCTTCAACAAAATGCCTTCTTAGCATTCGAAACTTAACCTCTATTATCGACAATTTACATGTAAATCCAATTAGGATTTCATGGCATGGAGAATCATTTATCCAACAACAATGCAAAATACATAGCCTTTGTTAAACCTACTGGTGTCAGTGGTGGTAGACGTATCCTTTATAAGGCTAAACAAAATACGAACCCAGTTTGTGGTTTTGCGGCAATGGTAGACCAGGAATGTGTGAACTTCAAAAAAAAAAAAAAAAAAAAAAACTTCAAAAAAAAAATCATGTAGAAGAAAACGAAAACCACAAAGGCCACTCAGCTTACAATACACCTGAGAGATGCTTGTTTTCTGTCCGGATGTTTGGCTTTGGCTAAACGGAAATCTTCAAAAAAGCGAGCCAGAAAAAAAAAACACGAATATGTGGCATTATACAGATAAATCTCTAGAGTACAATGACTAACATACACATACACACTCGCCCATACATGGCTTTGAGTGGGACTATCTATAAATAGTTACATTTCCCCAATTTCCCAGCCAAAAGCTATAAAACATTTTGTTCCACATATTCAAGTGGAGCAAAGTGACGTTGGCGTTGTTGTTTGTTTGTTTGTGTTGCTGCATACGTGGATTATGGTCAACAATTGTAAGCCAAATACTTGGGTTGTTTGCTTAGCTTAGTGGGTCCTTTTTTGGGATAGGTGGTTGCTGGTTGACTGGTCGGTGTGTAATTCCCGTTATCCTCAATTTGTCACGTTGTGTGAGTTTCGTTCTTTAGTCCTTAAATGTAAAGCCCAAACGAACATTTAACACAAAACCACAACAACAAAAGTTAGTCCTCATCGTCAGGAGTTAAGGTAAGGTACTGTGGTTACATAGCATACTATATGGATTTCTTAAATATTTTTATCAGCGAGGAGGACGAGTTTTTCAAATACAAAATATGTTGAGCATTTAAAAAAAAATATTTTTTAAGGTCTATAAGAGGTGTGTATTTCTTAAATATTTTTTTAGGATCCATAAGAGGTGTGAATTTCTTAAATAATTTTTTCAGGATCCATAAGAGGCGTGGATTTCTTAAATCTTTTTTTCAGGATCCATAAGAGGCGTGGGTTTCTTAAATCATTTTTTTTCAGGATCCATAAAAGGCGTGGATTTCTTAAATCATTTTTTTCAGGATCCATAAGAGGCGTGGATTTCTTAAATCATTTTTTCAGGAGCCATAAAAGGCGTGGATTTCTTAAATCATTTTTTTCAGGATCCATAAGAGGCGTGGATTTCTTAAATCATTTTTTCAGGAGCCATAAAAGGCGTGGATTTCTTAAATCATTTTTTTTCAGGATCCATAAGAGAAGTTGATTTCTTAAATCATTTTTTCAGGATCCATAAGAGGCGTGGATTTCTTAAATCATTTTTTTTTCAGGATCCATAAAAGGCTTGGATTTCTTAAATCATTTTTTTTCAGGATCCATAAAAGGCGTGGATTTCTTAAATCATTTTTTTTCAGGATCCATAAAAGGCGTGGATTTCTTAAATGGTTTTTTCAGGATCCATAAGAGGCGTGGATTTCGTAAATCATTTTTTTCAGGATCCATAAAAAGCGTGGATTTCGTAAATCATTTTTTTTAGGATCCATAAAAGGCGTGGATTTCTTAAATCATTTTTTTCAGGATCCATAAGAGGCGTGGATTTCGTAAATCATTTTTTTCAGGATCCATAAGAGGCGTGGATTTTTTAAATCATTTTTTTTTTCAGGATCCATAAGAGGCGTGGATTTCTTAAATGATTTTTTTTTTCAGGATCCATAAAAGGGGTGGATAATATTTTCTCAAGGCCTATTTTGAATACCTTTTTGGGACTTCTATTTTTTCATTCACTTTGTGTCTCTATACAATTTAAATATGTGATGGAGAAGTTGTTTATTTTTCAGTGTATCTTCGGGCTAGACAAAAGCTAAGCCTCCTATTATTTCCTTTTTCCAGTTATTTCGTTGTTTACGTTTTTTTCTATTTAAACTGGTATTTGTTTCTACGCCATGATCAACTAATCATATCTCTATATCCTTTTGAGCGCTTAACTAAACAGTGTAGCAGCACAGGTTCTAGGTATTTATGTCCTCTCCTTTGTAATATTAAATGACATGTATTTGTTTTCACAAAAAGCTGAAAGCTAAAAGGCAGAAAAGACAAAGGATAACAGCAACAACAACAACAGCAGCCGACAACGGTTTGGAATGGAAAATTAAAAACTCACTGAGAATACGGTGTTGTATCATCAGTCATCATGGGTTTGGAGGTAGAATGAAACGGACAGGCTTTCCATTTTTTTTTTAATAAAAAACATATTGAATTTTTAATGAGAGGCTTTACAAACAAACAGAAATAAAAGAAAAACAATAAACTGTTCTCCAACTGTATTTGAAATGGTTGATGGCAGAGGGTCTCGGTTCTCGGTCTGATACGAAAAGGCCATAACCTAAAAGTTAAAATTGAAATAAATCAAATTGGTATTTAAAAAAAAAATGCCAAATGGGAATAACGAAGAAAAATGGAACAGCGCATAAATCATGGTGTATCCTTTAATTGGTGTAGATGGGGGAGCAATGTGAACGAACATGACAATGCTATCTCATTGGGAATATATTTATTGTGAACGATAAATCAGAATGATTAAGAAATGTGCGGGCCATAGGTGATTGATTTTTGGGATGAATAATTTTAAGGCCTAAAAGAGGCGTGGATTTTTTAAAGAATATTTTTTCAAGGCTTAAAGAGGCGTGGATTATTAAAAGAATATTTTTTCAAGGCCAAAAAGAGGCGTGGATTTTTTAAAGAATATTTTTCAAGGTTTAAAAGAGGCATGGATTGTTAAAAGAATATTTTTTCAAGGCCAAAAAGAGGCGTGGATTTTTTAAAGAATATTTTTTTAAGGTTTAAAAGAGGCATGGATTGTTAAAAGAATATTTTTTCAAGGCCAAAAAGAGGCGTGGATTTATTAAAGAATATTTTTTCAAGGGCCTACAAGAGGCATGGATTTATTAAAGAATATTTTTCAAGGGCCTACAAGAGGCTGAAAGAGGCGTGGATTTTTTAAAGAATATTTTTTTCAAGGCCTAAAAGAGGCGCTGCTTTTTTAAAGAATATTTTTCAATGGTCTGCAAGAGGCGTGGATTATTTAAAGAATATTTTTTCAAGGGTCTGCAAGAGGCGTGGATTTTTTAAAGAATATTTTTTTCAAGGGTCTGCAAGAGCCGTTGATTTTTTAAAGAATATTTTTTGCAAGGGTCTGCAAGAGGCATGGATTTATTAAAGAATATTTTTTTCAAGGGTCTGCAAGAGGCGTGGATTTATTAAAGAATATTTTGGATTTTTTGGCGTGGATTTTTTAATCATTTTTTTTCAAGGTAGATTTTTTAAAGAATATTTTTTTTAAGGGTCTGCAAGAGGCGTGGATTTTTTAAAGAATTTTTTTTTCAAGGTAGATTTTTTAAAGAATATTTGTTCAAGGCCTTAAAGAGGCGTGCAAGTTTTAAAGAATATTTTTTATGGCCTTGTCCTTTTCAAGGGTCTGCAAGAGGCGTGGATTTATTAAAGAATATTTTTTTCAAGGGTCTGCAAGAGGCTTGGATTTATTAAAGCATATTTTTTCAAGGCCTAAAAAGTGGTCTGGATTTTCCAAAGAAATTTTTTCAAGGTAGATTTTTTAAAGAGGCGTGAAAGTTTTAAAGAATATTTTTTATGGCCTTGTCCTTATTATTATCTTTTTTGGTGGCACTAAAACACCCACACACACACCGAGTTATACACATATTTTAGTTGTTTACAAATTTGTTTCCTTGTAATATTATTTCCCTCCCCCTCCCCCCATATCATTTGTCCCATTGTTTTTGTTATTATTATATGTTTTTGTTTGTTTTTATGTTCGTTTTCTTGGCACTTGAGTAGCATTCGGAGATTTGTAACAGAAGCTTTTATGTCTTATCTCATTGTTCGTTGATATTTTGTTTTTTGTTGTTCTTCTCTGTGTTTTGTTGTTTTTTTTTGTTATCTTCAAAGCAAAAAATGTCTCAAATTGGCCAGAAAGTGGCACAATGGCATTAGGCGGTTGCTGCTACATGATGTGTCGTGATATTAGCACCGTCAAGCAATTCCGAACTACTTACAACTAAACAAATGAATGTCGAACATACATACTTACAACATTGATGTCAATGTGGTGGTTGTATTTACATGATGTTATGTGAGGCTTATTATTATAGGAGAAACGACACCGATGGGTCTTGAGATGGGTTAAAGGGTTAAACAATAAGAACTATGATTTCAAGCAATAAACTTAAAAAAATATTTTGATTCAATTATTATATCAAGAGATGGGAGAGAGGAAGAGAGTGCAGTCTAATAATTTTATAAAATCTTCCAGATGAGGATCCAAGAAAATGTTACATTTTAAGTTATAGAGAAGTTCGACAGATTCTAGATTTATAAAATGGCCTTCCTAGCTGCAGGATTAAGCCTTTTTAATAACCCTCTTACGAAAATGTATAAATGAGGGTAAGGAGGTATTTATCCTTTCCTTCACTTTTTTGTTTCTTGTTT